TAATTATGTACGTGTTTCCTAAGCCAATACCCGGGCTAAAACAAGTAAGCGTCCTTGCAATAATGAAACTAACTCTGATGGACGTTTCTGATTCAACATTACACGTGTTAATCATGAATATGCGTTTCTGATTCAACATTACACGTGTTAAATATCACATACGCGTTTCTGATTCCATTAAACATGTGCAAATCATGAGTATGCGTTTCTTATTAAACAGTACATGTGTTATTTATGAATTAAAGTTTCTGATCTAACAATGCGAGTGCTTATACTTAACGTGTTCCCGGACTTAATTTTTGGTTATTTCACTGAACTTACAATTGAAGGGCACGCTTATCTTAACAAATACGCATTTCTTTAGGTTTTTGAGATTTGTAAATAAATAAATAAAAAACTAGTTAACAAAAATTTAGATTGATGATGATGATAATGAAGATGACGATCACGACATAAAAGACGACGATGACGATGATGATTATTGTGATGATGACGATCACGATGATGCTGATAATAATGGTGATGGTCGTCTGATTATGATTTCTAATCAGCAGTATAAAAATGGCAATAATTTATAATTCATTATTTTCTTACAGCTCTCGTACCAACCAACTATGAGGAGAGCGACATATATAAAGATCTGTAAAGTTGGTATAATTGTCATGAGTGCCATAGCGATCTATAGTACAGTGATGAGTACACTTCCTGAAGAAGACGTCGATGATTTAAACATAGACCCGAAGGTTTTGCAGTATCTTAAACCTAAACCACCTAGGAAAAATTATATAAAGGCTAAACCTACTTTAAAGGTAAGCAGACCCGTGGGCGAGACCGCGGATTGCGGCGCGTTTGTTTCTTATTTTCTACCGTCTATACATGTCTTAACAATATTAATCTAAATTAACAAGATATAATCTACATAGTTAATAAAAGCTGTAAAATTTGACGATGATTTAATTCTTTTATATACATTATCAGATTTATACGGTGGCACAGAGGTGACTTGTGTGTAATTTTAATTATTTTTAGCACAGGTGACTAAGTATTGCGCATGATATAAACTCATGCGCGCGCACGACATAATATCTCCGAGAAGATGCGATTGGAGTGTTCTTGTTGATCTGCTTTCATGGGAAATGTTTTGTAACTTAATTACTTTTATCTTTATAATATAGTCTTTCTTTTAAATACATCAAAGGGAGTTGAAATGATAACGTAATTATAAGACGTGTACATTGCTTGCGAGGCTTTCACCAAGGAATTATAGGACATTCACGATAAGTATTGTATATTTACGTTATCAATGATTTTTCCAGGATAACTCGTTTTATTTAAGATTCACCGGTTACCTTTGATTAAACAATTATTTACTAGAAGCTCGTCATCTGTCATTCCATTTCAGCCTCGTAAAAAGGAAGTAAAGTTCAAGGAGGTGAAAGAAAATGAACGTGTAAAAGTATTTGGCAATGTGAAAAAGATAACTGAAAAGGATATAAACCGTGCTTTTATACCCGGTCAGTACCGTGTGCTTGGATATTCTAGTGACATATCATTACTGTCAGTCGTCATTGGGAATTCTTCCGACCAGACATGGGATTATACCAGTGTCCAGGGATGGGAGCATGTTAAATACGCGAACAGTTCGTTTTCCTGCTGTTTCCTGTACCAGTCTGGAATTGTTAGGTCAACTAATACAACAAGTCAAATTAGCTGGAAACATGATAAACATGCAAGGATTGTAGCAAAACAGTATGTGTGCCCGAACCCTAGATCGCAAAACGAAGACCTGCTGCCCATTGGTGTAACTATTGCTGGAACGAAAAGTCACGGTTGTAACCGTAACGTGAGTTGGTATTTACCGCCACATTACGCACGCGCTCATAAGAAGATTGTCACGTGTACAAAGGTAGAACATTTCTGTTGAAACTTCTTTCAGCTATTCCTTTAAATATTTTTCTTTTTAAAAGAAAATACTTTCATCTTATCAAAGTAATTAATCATAAAAATCAAGTTAATGACGATACAGATCGTTAAGAATAGTATGATAATTATTAATACACATGTATACATTATTGGTAGCCATATTGGATTTATCGGATATTTTTGGATTGCTTTTAAAGTGCATTTAATTTTACAAGCTCTTAACAAAGATTTATCATATTCCTTTTCCTGAAATACTTTCTCTCTCAAATTTATCAAAATTTAGACAACGACGACGATGATGGTTGTGATGATGATGATGAGGACGACGACGACGACAATGATGATGATGATGATGATGATATTCTAACAGATAAATTATTTTTCTCATTTATTTATTTCATTATTGTCAGGTCGTACATAGTAACGTATCAGAGAACGATGTATTATCCTGGTTTGAGGTACATCGAAAACTCGGCATGGAGAAGGTTTTTGTATACACTTACGACATGGCACCAAATGTAGCCAAAATATTACAACATTACCAGGATGCTGGAATAGCGAAACTCATTCCTTTTAGGCTTCCTAAATATTGTACGTAGATTATTATAGTAACTCTTATTTTTAAGTTGTTTTGAAGTGGCATATTTCTTCTATAGGTGAGATATAATTCATATAACTCACTGTATATACTGCTCATTGGATAGAAATACATGTAGTTATTTTTTTCAACTTGCTAACAATTTAAGATTGAATGTGTTGCCTATTTAGGTAACCGCATAATAATGGTCAAAATACTATATACGAATTTGTAGTACTAGCATGAAGTACTAGAACATTTAAATTATATTTCTTCTTTTGCTTCCAGGCTCAATAATATTATTTGAAACTTCTTTTGAGTAAGATCAAAAGTATTTGTTTTATAAGAAAGGTATACTATACGAAACTTAACCCCGCCCCTCCGACTATAACTATTTGGGGTTGAGATTAACTTATATCAAACTACTTTCAACTTAAACAATTTTAATTGAATTTGTTTGCATGGTTGTAATGTATTCAAGCAGTCGATGATAAACATAATTTTAATGTAATATCGTGTGTATTTAAAGTGCAAGATATATTGATACCCAATGCGAAATCTATTGAATTGAAACGTACCCTTCTGCACATGCTAGGGTAATTCTTTACTATATAAAAACAAATCGGCGATGGAAAGAAATCAAATTAATATACAATCTACAGATGAAAAGAGGTATGGCAGTCACGGGAAAAAGGACACTAGCATGATTAAATGCTTTGTGACTAGTTTTCAATTACTGCAACTCTACAGTAGGCTTCTACAATATCGAAATCTTTTGTCCCATATTTGATTATGTCCTCAATTACTATGTCATGCAGGAAGCCAAAATTCTTTGTAATAAAGCAGAAATATGAACACTTTCAACATATCCTGACATATTTATTTGTTCCATATAAGATTAGATATATATGTATTTGTTTTTCAAACATTCCTGCTGTTCTGAAATGTTGCATAGCTGCATACGCGCCTGAAAGCGCGGGCCGTCGCAGAAAGGGTACCGTAAAAAGAGGGTTACGTTATGGATGCCCATTGAGTCAGTGTTTAATTTGAGAAATCTGTCTTATTATGTTTACATGTTTTTTCATGGTAAGGAAGTATTGTCCAACAACATTGACCTGGCACTCCTGCATTTGACCCTGTAGTCGGTATATTCCGTAAACTTTACGATCTACTTGTAAATCGATATGAATGTAAATATCCAATTGTTAAAATGAAGTATATTAAAATCCCTATGAGCGCAGTTGGTAAAGTGGTTTCACTTGCACATTGTAGACGTAAACTGGTACGTACGAATCCTATTTCAGCGATTTCTTTTTTCTTTTCTTTTTTAATTTCAATTTTAAAATTGTCATTCTCTTAAAACTATTGCAAACGTTTTAGTTGTGTGTATATTTTAATTGCCTTTATAGCGTGTAGGCGCTAAAGCACATGATTGCATAATGTCACAAAGAGAATCTTTGAAAATACATGTACTGTAATGAAATAAAAAATATAATTGTGCATGAAAACACCACATAATTAGAAGGTATTCTTAAACCAGGCGTGGTTAAACTATTTCAAATTAATTCTTGCAAGTAAATGAAAAGAAAAAAAAATATCAAAAGTTGGTATTGGTAAGGAATCGAACCAGAGACCTTCAGATCCGTAGTGCGACATCTTTACCAATACACCACACCTCGCTGATGATTGAAGTTAGCAAATATATCGATATATTCGGTAGATTCTGGTCTGTGTTTATCTAAATGACCTTTACGAAAGTTAATGAAGTGCCAGGTCAATGTTGTTGGACTTTTTTTTAATATCTAACATTTTGTATTTGTTTTTATTTCAGACAAAGGGAAGCAAATAACGGAGATAGGGTCACAGTTTGTAAAGGAATGGAACATTGAACAGGCACTTATTAATGACTGTTTTGAGAGATCAAAGGGCTATAAATATGTAGTTGTTTTAGATATTAACCAGTACCTTATACCTTATAAAGCACCCAGTTGGACTCATTTGTTTGTAAGTTATACATTTTTGTTAGAACCCACTGTTTAGATATTGTTTTGATATCTTCAATATTTCAGTGTATTTTTTTTTTCTTTAACGGAATCAAAATAGTTTCTAAGCAGGGTTCTTTATGTAAGTAGGTAAAAAATACACAATTACTTCATTATTAAATGAAAATCAAAGTACTGAAATATTGGAAATAAAAATACAACAGCGGAACCTTGGTGACGGTATAAAAATGATGGGAGTCAAGTAAAAGTTGTCATGTGAAATGAGGGTGTGTACGATGAATTTCAGTCAGAGTACTTATAAACGATTATATTCAAATACGATTTTAATGTAAAGAACATATACAGCCGAGGAGATCCGATAGTGGTCAAGGAAAACATCCGCATATACTTATATAATGTCTTTACACATAATCAAATTCGTTTGCTTTGACTATGATATATCAAAGTTATTTTTACTATTTGATCCCAACGAATGTCACTCACTTTCAAGAATTAAAGCCACCTTTAAAGATCCTGTATGTTTTGTGATTGATATTGTTACTGTGAGTATACCACACTTGCAAAAAATTATATATGTATATAATTATGCAAATAAAACAATTTTTAAACATCAAAGACTATGTAAAATGTGTACTGCAAATATTTGTGCACATTATATTTAATCAATAAATTACATGCATTCATTTCTTATTGGAAAATTTAACTTAGAATTAATAGAAAATAAATTTCTAACTACCTCCCTTTATTTACATGAAATGTTAAATTGGGTAATATCTTTATAAATAATGCTTATTTGAACTTACAATATTGACAAATCTTAATTTGAGCATCATATTTATGAAATAAAACCATGAAAAAAATGTGTTACAGGATCTTTAAAAGCCCGAAATGTACGGTTTAATGAAATTGGTGTTATCATTCGCCCGGTTAGAACGCTAAGATTGCAACGTTTTGAAATGTTCGTTGGTTTTGAAAGGCTTATCAAAACAATATGCATGACATTGTACAATTCCACTTTAAATATTTTTCATTCCATGGTAATTCGTTTTCTGGTAAGTTATGTACTTCAATATGCAGCGATGCACAAAATGGATTTGTCCATGTATATACATTTTCACTTTTTACTATATATATTTTACAGGGATAAGCAACCAAAATTTTCTCGTAAATTCTCGACAGTAACCCGCGAAAAGCATGCTACCGTCATTTTCCTTTTAGTTTTATTTTATTTTTCTTTATTTCTTTTAAAAGATGACATCTAATTCCTTGTAAGATCTAATCTATATTATCTCATACAAGTTGATGACTCGAATGGAATTTGTTTTAAGCAAATAGTTCGGCCCTTAAGAAAAATATTCTCTTATGTGTCCAGTGTTTATGTACTTTTAAGGTACAAAATCTTTCATACATGTATTGAGATTGATATATCTATTTTATTTTCAGAACTTACTCTATAAGTTAAATAAACCTGCTGCCGGATTTGCCTTTAATGTAAATTTACACATAACATCATGGGCAGTTGGTAATCGTACCTCCAAGTTTACCGCCGGCAGATATTTCAATCATACTTTTCCGCAGGACAGGAATGTGAAACACGTGACACAACCGGAAGCAGTAAGCGGACTGTCGATTTATGCGTTTACGCCGCTTAGGGGATTTAGAGAGTAAGTAAATTTACATTAACTTGGTCTTGAAAATAGTTCGTTTACTGTTTGTTTCATCTGCTCAGATGGTTTCTTTGGTAGCAAAGCACTGCTCGCCATTAAAGTAGTTCAAATATGGTAGATTTGTTAATGAACTTACAATCGAGACACCTCGACAACTATTCATAATCATCTCGGAGTTTCTACGGAATAAAATAGCTTCAGATGAATACAAAAAAGAGGGTGTTATCGTTGTATAACGAATTATTTTGTTTAACTGTCAACGAAAAATAGAGTCAATTTCGGTAAAATTATGAATGAAAAATAGAAATCTATGCCAGACAATCAAAATCGACTTAAGAATGTCCATTGTCAACCAGATATAACCAAAGTCGAAATATCGTCAACAGATGTACAGTTTGTTCTTAATGTTTCTTTAACTAAACGAATATTATTTGTTTACATGTTTGGTTTTATTAACTTAGGTAAGACCCGTTCTGTGATTTCTTACTCATTGTATTTGAGGTCTGACGAAAAGGGGACGTAAACATTCTTTTTTTGTTAAAAAAATTTTCGCCGTTTTTATATACTTATGTTTCTGTAAAAATTTAAGAAAAGAGGGAAAAAATTTAATCATTAACAATAAAAATGTACACTTTTCAGATTTCGGGCACCAGTATCACAAGCCATAGTTCATCACTTCCGGTCATGTAAAAAATCTAACGACTGGGAGGATGACGTCGATGCAACATGTCAAAACATGGGAAATTACTATGAGGATAAATACGTAGCGAAAATTTTAGCACCACTTGAAAACAAAATAATAAAACTTAAATCATCAATTTTGAACAAAGCTTAAAACTGGTACCACGCTTTATAAAACTTTTCTAATTTATACGCATTGATATATCATGACTGGGTGCCATCTGCGTGTGAAATCAGGAACGGATTATTTCAAAAGATTTTTGCTAAAATCAAAATTATTGGAAAGTACGTACTATTACAAAATGACCATGGAAAAATGGAGGAAATTGTAAACGGGTCATGTGCATGTGCGGTACGTTAAATGAGATGAGAAAAAAGGTTCGTTTAACATATATCCTGGGTTTGTGTTACGATTGTTTGAATATGAAAACAATTTTAGCATCAGTCATTATCATACAGCCAAGAAGTGCAATAATGCGTTTGATATACATGTACTAAGTTTTATTTAATAGATGCACAATGTTTACCGCACCTAACGCTTATATCCCCTGAGCTGAAACTTAAAATGACGTGATATTTTACCAGTAGTGTATAAATGATTAAGTCCCGGGTGTATTTCACCACAGAGCATGGTCGTTTAAAACAGTTTTACACGGGAAAAACAGGCTTTTTTAAAATGAATATCAATTCCTTGTGGTTCATGTGTTGTTTGACGTGTTTAATTAGCAAGAAAGATGTGATTTCCCGCAACTTTGGATTCAACAAACTCTTCGGTGATAAGAATAAAGATGATATATTTGAAGGATGGTTCTGGAACAGATATATCATCGATATTGGTCAAGATGAGGCACGCAGTATCTCTTTGTGAAACAAAATGTATTGATGATAATGTTGTGAACAAAAGTTAATTATAACAAACTTTGATATATCATTTCTGCATTTCACTTAATACAAAAGATTCATACAGTGTTAAAATTTGAAGAAAAAAATAGAGACACTGGAATAAGAGACAGCAAACATTATTGTGTTTTTATTCTATCAATGACTAGTAAATGTCTGTTTGGAAACTGATAATATATCAGTCTCAATTTTCCAAAACTGATTTCAACTGTCGTCGCCAAATTTATTGGTTCCATGTGCCATGTGTCATGAAAAATTTTAACCAATCAAGTCATGCATTTTCATGATAAATGACAATCTCCTGTAAATACTAGCAAGTATTTTCCCTGTAAAATTTCACCCCGTCTTATAAGAGTGTCAAAGAAACACTGAATATTTAAATACCCCGTCTTATGATGTCCGTCTTATAGGCGAGTCAATACGGTATATAAAGTGAACAATGCTGTGTAGATATCGTAAAATAAACAGGACATTATTTATCTTATGATGCTTAAAATTTAAGATTGTCAGTTCGAATTTATTTAAAAAAAAGGTATCATCCTAGTACTTATAACGTAGATTTTACAAAATAGTTATGTGTATTATATAACTGTTATATTACAGAAAAAAATAACAAATTTACTTGATATGTAATTCATGCGGTCAGGGCCTGAGCTCATTAATTTTGATAGAGTCCAGATAATGTACTCGTGAATTTGTTGTATGTATGTACAGTGCAACCTCTAGTGAGTGACTCTCTGTAGAACAATAACCTTTTTTACAATCTTTACAACAACAGTATCAAATCTTCCATAAATAAGATTTAACAATAAATCCAACTCTCTACAACAACAACCCAAGGTTGTTTTGCTTCCCCAAGGATGTTGCTTAATAGAGATTGCACTGTATTTTTTAATGTGTGTCCCTTTAAATTATGATCAAATTCATTGATTTATTATCATTCAGTGATGTGCATATTTTATACAGACTGGCAAAATAGTTAATCAAAGCGTTCGAAGAAAGATAGACTCTCTTAAATACAAATTACATAATTAAAATACTGAATTCAAATAGTATGTCATATCAAATAACAATGGCCATGTCTAATATTTTCATAATCATAATTGTATATGAATAGTTAGAAATATCAAAGCTGCATGTCTCAAATCTACCTATGTATTTACCTTCTGTACATTCATTTCTTGTATATAAGCTCTCATTACATACTTTTTATACATGCATGTAAAATCTTATTGTTTAATCAATAAGTTGTTCGCATACATTTATTAATAAATTTATGTTGATATGTTTTGTTATTTTAATTGTGCAGAGCAATAATTTGTGTTCACTTATGTCTGTAAAAATGTGATTTATATAACATTTTAGTTTGACTAATAAAATTTAATGAGAAAGATGGATTTTGGTGATGTAATTTTATTTTTCATTATTTTTTTTCTTTTAATTTCTTTGGGGTGGGGGTCGGAGGGGTGGGGGAGGTTTGTGTGTTATATCTCAATCTTATATGAAAGGATATAATATTACATATATAATATGACATTAAATCATCATTTTAAATAGCAAAAGTTATGGTAAAATATGTACAACATGTAATTTGTTCAACGTATCAAATTGAATACACCTTATTTAATGCATATGTTTTCCTTAATGCAATTCTTAATGCAATGTAATCGAATGTCAAAAAGTCGATAATTGTTATAAACAAATAATCCTGTCAACAAATGCATCATGAATCAATACTTGATTAACTGTGATTAAACAAAACTTATAACAGTTCGTTACATGACATTTTAATATACGAGTATTTACTACATAATAACAAAAGTACCTCTGCTCTGGCATGTATAGAAGTTTCAGTTCCTTGCGAAAGTGAAGGATACTAGTACTGGTAAACTCCTTTACAGCCTGCCAAGGAACGATGTGGTGGCTGAACTGTGCTCTGGTGAATTCAATGTGGCTTACTGTCGTGATCCGGAATGAAAACTTCCAACACCACCACCTATATGGACTTACAATAGACAATCTTTAACAGAACAGAACAGATCTTTTATTTCTGATTTGTACATAGTACATCATCATATACATAAAATAATAATATTCAAGTAACATGTACTTTTCAGTGCAATCAATATAAAGAAATTAATAAAATAAATAATAATAAAGATATTAATAATTGTAATTGTAACAATTGTCATTGTTCAGATATTTGTTATTAAGCCTCAGTTAAGTGAGGATGAACATATTTTAACCTGCTTGAACGTAATGTGATTAACCCTGGCGAAATTGTACAGCAAGGTCAGTCTGACCTGTCACTATACTGTGGACAGACGAATTTAAAACTTTCATCTTGATACCCATTTAAGAAATTCAGCCCACTCAGGGTTAAAAACCGAACAACAAACATCAGTTGAGCACAACGTCCAGATATAATAAAAAAATAAAATAAATAAAATTTAAAAAAATCAAACTTCATAAAAAATGTTGTAAATATGAAACAAAATTTACTGCATGCCAAATTAAATGTATGAGAGAATTTTTTATGTCTTGTAATTTTTCTACCCGCTTACTAAATGGTATGGTGCAGGTAATTCCACTTTATTTGTACACTAAACAAGACATTGGTAGACACCAATGCCAAGCCAGCCCACACACCCTTGCAGTCCGGAAAGGCTGTATACCTTTTAATACCATTGCATGGTAGCTCAATTATAGTTATGATTTGAAAATCCCTTAAACGTTGATTTTTAAGGCAGCGCAAATCCAATAAACCAATTAAGCTGGTTTAAAATAAAAAAATAAAATTAACACGATTGCTTTAAAATAGCGAAATAGTGACGTGAACACGTTTATAAAAAGAGATAAAAATAAATAAATAATTGACTACACGTGAATTATATTATGTCAATTTCCCCTGAGGGTATTTAGTTTATTTTCATATTTTTATCAATAACGAAACAATCCCAGCCAGCATCACCATATCGGGCCGATATAGGATTAATGTCGGCATGTCGGCAAAATATGCCGACTATTGGCCGACGTCGGGCCTCTGTAGTGCCGACGTATTGAGTATTTTGAAAAATTCTAATTGCAATGCCATTGTTTACTTAATAATGTGAATAAATTGTCCTGTGTATGATTTCAATTACTAGAACAATATTAACCACATTTCGTGTAAGATCAAAAAAGATACATCGGGTCTGCGTCGGGCCTACATGACCTATCAATGTAAGTATTTTGTATATCGGATTGACATCGGTACGATATTGCGTTTTCTGTTGAATTGAAAATCATGCAGCAAAAAATTGTAAATTTTGATATGAATTTCTAAAATAATCATAGTTGAGTTTGGAAATGATATGTGGTTTGTTATTAAATTCAATATTTACGTTTTGACTACATAAAAATCACTCTTTTATTATATCTTAAATGAAAAGCTTGAAAATATTCACTGCAGTCCTACAATTAACAGATTAAGCGCCAAAAAGAAAAGCTAACAAAGGAAGGTGATGAAAAGCATGTTTTTTAATATAATGATGATTCAACAAATCTGTAAAAAATTTTAATGCTGTCAATAATTTGATTTTTAAACTTAAAATTATTGGAAAAATACAATTTATCTGTTTGTCTCTTTTTTAGATGTAAAATTATGTTTGAGAATATTTGTCAAATGATTTCGCGGCATGCATTATCATGGTAGTGATTGTCATTTGCACGTTTAAGTTAAAATATGTGTCTTTATTGTCTAATTTTGTAGAATAGTTATCTTTTATTTTGTGTTTTTGCAGGTTATGCCAAATGCTTGCTGCTAGATGTCATCAACATGCTAGCATAAGGATGATACCTGGTCGATATAGGACCGATATCTTTCTACTGTTGGCTGACATCGCACCGCCATTGTTTTGATGTAGGCCCGACGTCGGCAAGAAATATCGGGCCTATATCGTTAAGATGTCGGCCCGATATTGTTCTGCCAATGTCGGGCCAACATCATTCCTATTTGCAGCCGAGGTTAAAGCCGACATCGGGCCGTCACAGAAAACCATGTCGGTCTGATGTCGGGCCGATATAGAATGTTGGCTGGGATAGCACAATGTAGATAATAATTGTGTTCCGCGAATGATTTTTAGTCCATACTGTATTTACATAAGTACATTTTCGTTTAAAGTTGTCTTGTTTGATTTCAAACGATTGGAAGAAGTGTAAATATTTACTTAAAATACAAAGTGACATTAAACAGTTAAATTATAGGTGTATATCATCGTGATAATCAGGTAATAGCATGTACAATCCATAAACTAAATGTATAAATGTTAGTACATAAAGTTTGTTTGTTTTTAGAGGAATGTGTTTTAGCTAGATTTTTGTGTAAGACTATCCGATTTTATTTTTTCCTTTTTGCGCTGCTTAATTGTTTAATAATAGAAGTCATTATAGCTTAATCCGGTAGGTATACCGAAAACAAGTGTCAAATGTCGGGTTGTTAAAATGTCCGTATTTCGGGTAGAAAATATGGGATGATAGACTTGAATGTGTTTACAATGCCGTGTTATTTCATCGGTTTATGTTACAGATTTTTTGTCAGTTAAAGTGACCGCTGGCTATTTCAATGTTAGCATATCTTTACCACACTTAAGCAGGGTAAATTATAATGACGGAATGGAATTGATTTCTACTTGGTAAGGTAAGGTTTTTATACATGTCTTGTTTACTATTGTATTGTATAATAACCATGGTATTGCCTATTCCTGTTTTGTAAACTACAATTAATCACCATCTTAAAAAGGGGATTGTTCACAAACACACCCAACATGTTTTGAATATGTCATTTACAAATTTATTTGTGAAATTATGGATTTTATTTCTTGACATGTCTATATTTACTGAAGAGGATACGTTGTCCAAATCTTAAATACGATAAAGTCCTATCAACTTACATAAAATGTAATTAATTTTCAGTCAGTTTTGGTTTGAACTACTAGACATATACTTGTAAAGTATATATAGTAAGACATTGTTTTCAGTTTTAATAAATATGGCAATACCAAGTTCTAAAATTTTTAAAGGTACTCCACGGAGTTTTCATTTTTGACATAAGATTTTTTATACCATTTTATGTAGGTCTTTACCAATAACCTTTGTGCTAACTTTCAGATAATTTGCTCACTCTGTTTGTTTGTTTTTTTGGTGTGTGTTTTTTTTTAAAAACAAAATGAGCTAAAAATTAAAAGAGTTTTTAAAAATGCTTTTAACTCTAATTGAGAGCTAGGTAACTAGCTAAATCGATTTATTGACAGGCCTTTCTCTGAACCGGCTACATAGACGGGTATCTAGTTGCATTGATTTATTATATTGACATAAGTAATGTTTTGAATGTTTGTCATAACCTTTGGTAAAGAGAGAATTGTTTCCTGGCATAACTATAACATTATTTTTCATTTAAATTTAATCATATACATGTACATGTATAGCTAGAACCATCAGAGGAATGATGGATACCCCCAACATCTCTATGCCACGGGATTTAATTTAGTTCCATTTTTTACCATTTTTGAAGGTGGACATTTAAGTTGAGTTTGAGGAGTATAGGATTTATAGCATGTGATTGGGGTATAATACGAAATAATAATGATAATGTCAGGATATGTTTATTTGTGATATTATGACATATACATTTGTTTGTTTATCACAAATTATTTAGTTTAATTCAATATTTACTACCTGCCATCGTATGGTGGATTTAATCTGTTTTGTGACTTTCGTAGCATAGTTAATTTTTATGCATGATTGTCACTTTATAATTATTTTTATTAAAATTGTATTCTGTCAAATTAAACATCTTTAATGTATAATTATAAGTATACTATGTATTTGCTTTTGAAATCCCATTAGGACCATATAAAGTATTATTTTTCTTACAAACAGCTACTGTGAAGGCGTCACGGAAATTTCTTTCTTTTTTTTTTTCATTAAAATTACAATATTATCACTTTTTAATACTGTTAAAACATTTTTTTTTACTATTACAATTGCATTTTATGATCTGCTTCTATTTTTAGAGATGAGATGAGATCGTGTGCGTTATAGAGGTATGCAACGATGAGGTTTAGACAGCTATTGAGGTTGTGTAAAATTTCAGGCAAGATCGCCTGTTTCTCGTTGACGTTTTTCCTCGTTTCACAGCGGATATTAGAGGAACCACTGGAACATATAGACGCCGACAATGTAGATGAAGTTATAAAAGTAAGTAAGCTTAAGGTTGTAAGTTTTATCATGAACATTTAATATTGGTAACACAAAAATTCATGCGAGATACATGCGGATCTGAAAAACAAATCCTGCGAGGGCTTCGAACTCGTACCATCTGATGTACAAAGACAATAAGATACAAATCCGGTGCGGTTGTATGAAGGTAGATACATGTAAGTAGTACGAAGATACGTCATTCATGCCTTTTTAACACATTTTACCATCTTCGTACATGTATTACCTACTGGAGGTATTCACATGAAATTTCACATATCTGTCTTCAGGATCATAATAATAGGCCACTATCAAAGACCAATAAAGCAAACATTGATTTGGACTGACATATGTTATATCCATTGGTGAAATACCAGGCGCTGTGGATGTTACTATCAAACGTTACTACTGGTAATAGCTATTGTTGAATCAATAGTGGACAAATTCAAAACATTGCAATCTTCCCTCCGATTCCCAACTTTTTGTTTGTGAGATATATTTTCACTACTTCTGAATTGAAACTTCATAACACTTGCATGAATTTGGTTTATTTATTTCCTGCGCTATCGTGGCAAGCATTGAACAGTGCATTGAACAAAGCTTTGCACGCCTATTGCACAAAACATAGCATCGGCCTCCGAATTATAAACCTTTCTATCTCAATTCTCAGGTTTTTCGTTGGTCAGTGTACATTCTGCAATCAAATACCCGAGATCCGAGTTGAGATTACAGACTTTCCTTATAACCTCGGACCCAGGTCTTAAGATATTTCACAATCCTTGTGAAAGTATATCCGGTATGAGTGGTAATATAAAATGATATCATGAGCTTGTAACATACACCAGGTTTACTTTTAGAGTTTAAATAGGAGATAAAGTTTCTTATCTCACATGTATATCTTTTTTTATTATTTCAGGAAGATATACAACCAGTGCCATTTCAAATCGTTATTGAGAACAATCCGGGTAAACGTGAGCTAAAAGTTAACAAAAATGTTGCTACCCGTTCAAATTCTTCCGCCATGATTCCAGGACTTATGCGGGTGTTGGGATTTTCTTACGATATTTTCTTATTCTCCGCCGTCGTCGGAAATTCCTCAAGCAGCAATATATGGGACACTATTGTACTCCAAGGCTGGGAACATAGAATGTATGAAAACACGACGTTTGGTTGCTGTATCAAATATAAAAGCGGAGACCTACGGTCAGTGAACGCAACTAGGAAAGTTCACTGGGCCTATAGGCAGAAGGTTACACTGCCTGTCAAACAATACATATGCTTAAATCCGAAACCCGGACTTGACGATCTGCCTGTTGCTGTAACTTTATCCGGACAGACTGCACAGACGGCGTGTCACAGAAAATTTAACTGGTACTTGGAGCCATATTTCTCGCAGGCACATTCAAAAGAAATAGCAGTTTGTACCAAAGTGAGTTGATTTCTACCCATTTCACTATACGTATATAACTTTTATTTGTATTCGCCAACAAACTTCCTTTCAACATGGTCATCATGTCTGATCTAACAAGCTTCACTGATTTAAGATGACCACTGGACGGTTAAGCATTGTCAATATTCAAACCTACTGAAGTCTTGTAAACATCATTGTAGACTTGTTAAATGATTTGAGCATGCAAATGTAATTAAATCTTCAACAGCTGTAAAAGGACTTCTCGCATGCCTTTTTAAAAAAAAGCAAACTTGTACTTGTAACGCTTCGTCTGTCAATTTCAATGTTATTGTTTAGTTAATCCTTTATTATACAACTACAATTGTAGGTTATGTGTATAATCAATAATATTGAATGTAAGTTATCGTTTATGTAATTTTTAGATATGACAATTTAACAAAACTTTATTTTACGACATCATTTTTGTTCTGTACAGATGGTATATGGAGATGTTTCAGCAGACGACCTCTTGACTTGGTTCGAGATACATCGTCGGATGGGCGTGACCAAAGTATTAACATATACGTACGACCTAAATGATGATGCCGCCAAGGTTTTACGGTATTACCAGTCGCAGGGTATGGTAGAGACTTTTCCGTTCAGACTCCCAAAAGCATGTACGTACAATAGGTTTGTCTTTACTTTAAAGGGCAATGTTTCAATGTATTGATCTCACTGTAATTGCTCGATTTATTTTTGTTTTGTCATATGAATTATAACAAATGACCTATTTTTACTGAATGATGTTTAAAATTTTCTGGAAGGTAGTTGGTGGCGCATGTGACAAACCGTGCTAAAATAGCAATGGAATATTTTGCTATTCTGTTAACGTATCATAGTAAATACAGACACTAACTGTTAAAAGAACTGCCAAGAAACGACTATAAGAGTAACGAAATTACACGAATGCAAATAATTTGAAATTTCTAACAATGTACCTGTACATATGGTATATTTCACTAATTTATAATCCTGACTGACCAACAGTCAACATAAATTGAACATTACATGTAAATTCCGATGGATATCTAAAGAAATTAACTTGAACCACGTGGACTGAATGTAAATTATATATAACTGTTAGGAATTATGACAGAATGTAAACTTATTTTGATTTTCACCTTTTCACTTACTATATACCCTTGGATGAGCATAATGTCTTAAGTCTTTTAGTGACTGATACATGAACATTAACGGTGTTGGTTAATCTGTTACAGCTCGTGGGCGTAAAGTAACACAAGTTGGGGTAAAGAATTATCAAGCTTGGAACGATGAACAAATCCCTGTGTATGATTGCTTAGAAAAGTTGAAAGGATATAAATATCTGGCAACAATAGACATTGACGAATATCTTATACCAAAGGGAGGCAAAACGTGGCTCCAGTTGTTTGTAAGTAATTAATGAAATATTTTTGATGTAGAGAATAGATAAGCAAGACTTTCAAGGGTAGATAAAGATGACTTTCAGGGGGAGATAACCATGGATTCTTGGAGAAGATAAATATGGTTGAAACATGTTAAGGGGAAGATAAGCATGGTTTTAGGAGAGTACATTTAAACATGTAAAGGGGAAGATATACATGGTTTTCAGGAGAAGATAAGAACGATATTCAGCGGAAGATAAACACGATGTAACGGCAATACATTTATAAACATGTGTAAGGGAAAGATGAACACGATTTTAGGGGAAGATAAACACATTTTAGGGGAAGATACACACGATTTTAGGGGAAGATAAATACGACTTTCTTGGAAAGAGTGAAGAAGAGTAAATGTAATTTTTTAAAAGAAGATAAGCATTTTTATGGGAACATAAAACATGATTTTAGAATACTCCAGTATAAATATATTTAACGAGAAGATGGTGTCCAAAAAAGAGCATTTTCGAGGATCTAAACGCAATTGTTATGCTGAAGAACAAGAAAATTGATACACAACACTTTTTAATATTTTTAATCAATATTTTCAAACGATAAAGCTTTTAACCTATACTTTAATCATTTAGAGACGTTGCCTTATTAATTTTGTATCTAATGAATACATAAGAAATGAAATGTAAGTTCTTATCCATGGCGATTTTATTATACCGAAAGAGGGCAAATCCAAAGGCAAATAAGCGTGGGCAAATTAGTAAAGGAAGAAATCCATCAGCTAGTTCTAGTAAATAACGTAAATTATCATCCATTCTAAAGGGAACATAATATTATATCGATGTCGTTCTTTATTGCATATAGTTTTTTCCCTCAGCACTTTTGGAGCATGACCCAAGCCCCAGAATTAGGATTTTTACGATGTTTTAAAAATATAAAAATGGGAAGGCTGGCAACATTTATGTATAAAGAACCCCAAAGAAATCAAATAAAAAATTGTATTTGCTTAATGAAACTCCTTTTGTATTTAACTAGTAAACACATATTACAATTTGGAATTCGAGATAACAATTTTCTATGGCACAGTGCAGTTAAATGTAACAAAATGTCTATAATTTTACTTATTTTATTTTTTGTTCCCTCTATTGGGAATTTACTTCTATAAATAAGGGGGAAAAACGCATACTTTTTGGCATTGGGAACATGGCCGAATATCGTTCATCAAAGGACCAGTTATAAACCCTGTCATTACTTCGCTATTTAGCTCATTTTATGACATTTTTTTTCAGGACAAACTATGGAAAGTGAGACCTTGGGCAGCCGGGTACACGTTCCTCGTGCATTTACATATAACCTCGTGGGGAGTGACTAATAACTCGTCCCGGTTTACGGTCGGCAGGTACATTAACCGTACAACGGCAATGGTAGACAGGATGAAACATGTCACAAGACCAGACAGATTAGCAGTCGGTGGCTTATCCACTCACCAGTATACACCACAATGGGAAAAGAAATATAAAAGGTACTTTTTAGACAGAAAAAACGTGTTTTATGTGTTCCTCATAAGAACAGACATTTTCAAATTTTAGAAACTGCAACAAAATTACAAAATGTATGTTCACGTAAATAAATATAAATCGATGGCTCAGCGCAAAACTCAGCTAACACTATTTTTTGAAATTTTACAGGAGGGTGAAAAAACTGTCTAATTTTTTTCCCTACATGTATCTTTTAAATATTCTAATAATTTTTAATCATGCTAAAGGCCTTGAAACTTATATGATAAGTCATTTTCTGGTGGAATTAATTCTAAATGGTTTTAGTGCAATATTTTGAGTTAGCATGGGTTTTGCACTGAAAATCAAAGACTTTCCTAAAAACAAGTTAGCGCAAAACTAGGCTAAGTCAACTTGGATGAGTTTTGCACTTGCAAATGAATGATTTGTTGAAACTAAAGTTGTAAAATATGTGCTAAGTCAAGTTAACATAATTTACAAATCTATTTGAATTATATAATAAGAGGAAAAATTACATACAATGAACATTCTGAAACAATTCAAATAATTTAATTGTCAAAATTGATATTTCTATTTCTCTATTAAATAGTTATTTAACAATGACAACATTTGTAACTTAGACTGAACATTATGCATTATACACTTGTAGTCTTATAAAATGGGAATGGTGGGGATAAGGGATTATACCTGAAGTGAACATATAAATAAGACCTTTGTACACTTCGTTTGAAATGTTTGGGTAATTTTTGCAAAAGCCATCAGAGCCAATTGGAACTAAATCTTTGTGGTTCATTTTATTCACATCAAATGTTTTTTTGTTATGTTTATTTTTAAGGTGAGCTGCTCTGTCTGAGAGAGCCTGTCTTATAAATTATACTTAACAAATATATTTGAGAAATTAGCTGATTCAATACTGGCATGCAAAACAAACTGTTTCTCATTTTTAGTACATGTGTATTTAACGTTTCTGTTCCTCCAACAATAAAACAAATTTTTGATAGCATACCACATCATAGAAACATTGTTCTAATTTTGTTAAGCTTGGAAGTTATTATTATAGAATACAAATTCTTAATTCCCCCTTTTAAATGTTTCATCTTAAATATCAAAAGCTTGAATTGAAATTTCACTTCATCCAACTCTTTAAATGACTAATTCTTTGGGATGCAATAATATGATCGAACCCTTGTTGTTATGTACAGCAATATATTGTGAATTGCAATACATTGATTGCTATAAAAAATAATGTTATAAAAAGTGTATAGTAATAGCTATGAACAGATGAATAGACTTACTTTTATATACTGTAAATTTAAAACGGGAACCTATTTATTATAAAATTCTACATTTGGTAAATTTAAACAAATAAGAGTTATTGGACTTATGCCAATCATGTTAAATAATTACAGAGAATAAGTGTGTGAAGTTTCAATCCATTCCCTTCAGTAGTTATGGAGATATCAGCTTTGTAAAAAAAATGGGGCATAATTATGCAAAAAAGCAAATCAGAGTTATGGGACTTGTGCCAATCATGTTAGATAATTACAGAGAACAAGTGTGTGATGTTTCAATCCATTCCCTTCAATAGTTATAGAGTTACCAGCTTACACCAAGAATTTCTAAGTATAGAAAAGAGGCATAATTATGCGAAAAAGCAAATCAGAGTTATGGGACTTGTACCAATCATGTTAAATAATTACAGAGAATAAGTGTGTGAAGTTTCAATCCATTCCCTTCAGTAGTTATGGAGATATCAGCTTTGTAAAAAAAATGGGGCATAATTATGCAAAAAAGCAAATCAGAGTTATGGGACTTGTGCCAATCATGTTAGATAATCACAGAGAACAAGTGTGTGGTGTTTCAATCCATTCCCTTCTGTAGTTATGGAGATACCAGCTTACACCAAGAGTTTCTAAATAGACAAAAGAGGCATAATTATGCAAAAAAGCAAATCAGAGTTATGGGACTTGTGCCAATCATGTTAGATAATCACAAAGAACAAGTGTATGGGGTTTCAATCCATTCACTTCAGTAGTTATGGAGATACTTGCTTACAAGCAAAAACTTAACCAAGAATTTCTAAGTTAAAAAAGGGGCATAATTATGCTAAAAAATGCAATCAGAGTTATGGGACTTGTGCCAATCATGTATGATAATCACAGAGAACAAGTGTGTGAAGTTTCAATCCATTCCCTTCAATAGTACTTGCTTTCACGCAAAAAATTTACCACTGGGACGCCGACGCGACAAACTGGTGACTGCATTAGCTAGATTATTCTGCGAAATAGTCCAGCTAAAAACTGTAGAACAAAAAAGCATTTTTAAAGGTTTTAAGCATAAATTAAAGGAGTTGTTAGAAATTTGATTACCATAGGTTTGAATCATGAGCCAGTGATCATAGAGTTTAACAACATATACCGGAACCGTATTAATATCAAGGTCTGGATTTTAATCCAAGTAAAAGTTACAGCTCTACTATTGATAAATTAAATTCATCAGTTTGTAGTTTTATAAACTCTTATTTTAGCATGCTTTGAAATACAATAGTATAGGAAATAAACCATTTACAATTTTCAATATATCAACAAATTCCATTTTCAAAAAATTCCCACATCATTCTTAAGTTCAAATATTGAATAATATTATTTTAATAATGAGAATCACAGCTTTCACATGTGTAGAACTGTTATTTAATTTCGTGTTTAACTTATCTATCATTTAATCTGGACTGGCAGGCCCGTCATCATGATTTTGTGATTGTATGGCCAATTTGGTGGTTCTTAAGAGGCTACTCCCCCAGCCCCAGAAAATTTTATATTCTGGGATGCTCTTAGGAGCGTTTCCCCGTATATTTGACACAGTTTAAGTCTGCCGCCTAAGTACATATAATTTTGGCATATGTCACCGATTTTTTACAAAGATTTATGGGAATAAAAGATTGACTACCAATCGCATAACGGACAGACAGTTGTACATAAAATATGAATAATTAATATTTGACAAATGAAAAATAAACAATAATTGATGTTGTTATAATTCTTCATTTTTATCTGATAATCATAAATAAACAAGTACAAGAATATTACATATAAGGACAGTAGTACACATAGATAGTGTGTTCACAATGGTTTAAGCTTTATTAATAATAATCAATTGATTAGAGTCTCATTTTATGTGAATTTTCCAAAAACATATGGCCGTCATTCGTTTTGGAAACAAAAATAATTTTAGTTGATTTGGTTTCTATGGAGCTGTGTCACACGTCATGATATCTTACTATTTTAAAGTTTTAACCGACAGCCCTGACTGGGTATTGCAAAGAAAAATCATAGTGTGATATATTGCAATATTAACAGACTATGAACTATGTTAAATGCTAAAAATCAAGGGTAAGATCTACATAACCTTAACTTCATAGTTTAATTGTTTATATTATGTCCTTCTAATTATCTATTTTTGAGAGTTATTTAGATTTTGCACTTTGTTAAAAGTAATATTGTTTGTAAGTTTCAACAACTTTATGCAGTATCATTCAAAGTCAAGCTATATACAAGTAGAGAACACTTCCTATTCTTTTTATTTAGAAGGCTATCTACATAAAAGCTAAATCAATAATTTTCGAGGGGCTACAGTTAACTGCATTGGCCAATTATGAATATTATTTTTATTCAATGCATATCATCTTCTCCAGCTAAAATTAAGTCCTCATCTGTTTTATTATAAAAACTGAAAATAGCTTCTAATTATGCCTTTTTAAATCTGTTCTGAATAAGACACAAATCTAGATTTTAAATTTTCCAAAACTTTGTCTGTCAAAGAATGCAAGGGATAAACTAAATTCTTACTGTATGCATATTTACAAAACAATACCCCTTTAAATTTAATTCATGACACTGTTTGACTAAAACTTCTTTACAAATGGATGCAATGTCAAGTCATAATTGCAAAAATTGTAGACTTCTTGCAATAGCTTAAAATGATGACAAATTAATGTATGGCCTCACTGAATTAAGGCTTTACAATATACGATTAATGCTACATGTATATGCGTCATCAAAACTATTGCAAGTTTAAAACAGGGTGGTACTTATGTAATTTTAAAGGAATATTCTTATTTTCTATGTTGTAAAAGAACTACATGCTATAGCTTGATAATATTACTTAGTGCAACACTTAGGCTTAGTCAAGTTAGACTAGTTTTGCACTGGCAAATTTTTGTGGGTTGAAAAAATAATTGGTGCAAAACTCATACTAACTTGACTTAACCTAGTTTTGCAGTAACTAATTTGATCAATTTGACTTAACATGTTTGCTTCAAATTCAAATATAATTACTAATACAGGGAATATGTTCAAAATATTTTCAGAGATCAAGGGATGTTTGATTAACTTTCAGAATTTATGGAAAAGTCATTTTAGGTCAAATATGGACTTAGCTGAGTTTTGCGCTGAGCCATCGAAATGTAAATATATATCTAACGTCTTATAATTCGAAGTTTTGTTCATCTGTTAATATCAACTTTTCTCATATGACACCATTACTGGTTAATTCCAGGAACGGGGCACTAACGTGGTTTGAATGAGGAACCAACTCTTTTCAAGTCGAACTTAAATTAATAGTTTTTATTGTTTAAACAAAAAACAACAACATTTAACAACACATTATTTACAATGTTTATTAAACTCTGTTGTAGGTTTCAAGCACAGGAGTCAGACGGGACAATACGTCATTTCCGGGCGTGCAGACGAGACTGGGAGAAGAGGGTGGCTAACAAAACATGCATGAAACTAGCTAGATTTACAGACAAGACAGTGGCTGATATTTTGGCGCCAATTGAACAAGACATTACAATGTTAAAGTCATCAATTCTGGAAGGTGGATGAAAAGGCATTGTAATCAATACATTTAGTATTAACCAGCAATAAATGGAGCTCTCCGTGATGTAATACATGCAGCAATTCGAAACCATATGAAATCAGAGCTGGCTTTTTAGTTAAGCAAGAATTAGACATTGCTATAAGATCTCATATTGTTATAAATAAATAGGTACGTATGTGACAAAGTCAGAGCCAATATACCATACTGGATGAGAAGACACTGGAATCAATACGTTTAGTATACGATAAAGTTTGAGCTCTCCGTAATGTAATACAATGTGTAACATGCGACAATTCGAAACCAGAGCTGGCGATTTAGTTACGCAAATATTAGGCATTAATATAAGATCTCAAATTGCGTACGTATGTGACAAAATCAAAGCCAATATACATGTACGATATTGACAATAGAACAACCTCTTCATATTGCCAAGGCATAATAAATGGACATCATGTTTATTAGGTCTAAAGATCCTAAATTATTTATGGTACAAAATAATGTACGATTTAACTATCTTGTTTTATATTAATCAACGTTGGATAAACGAGTGTGTGTGCTTCATGAATCCGACTACTTGTTTCAAAATAAATCACAAATTTTTGGTGACTTCCATCAAACAATGGAAAATATCAATCGCAACTGCTCGGCCCTTTTCGTCAAACTTCGAATATGAATAATTATGAATAATAGCCGAGATGCTCCGATTGGGTAAAATATTACACTAGTTATGGCCCTTGGCGTGACAGTCACTTCCAGCATTAGGATAAATAACGGTATCGAATCTAGTCAGTGTTTTTCATTCGCTCTATAAGAGCTATATGTTTTCATTTTTCAGTATTTGCTACATTACAATCAGACATCATACTTTGTGTACTAGTGTTATACATATGAAATATGCAGAAAATGTGTATAATATCTTATGTGCAATATTAAATACATTGTATTTTTTACCATTTGTTTGTTTTTGTTTGTTTTGGGTTTTACGTCACATCGACACAGTATATATGTCATATCGCGACGTTCCAGCTTTACTGGTGGAGGAAGACCTCAGGTGCCCTTCCGTGCATTATTTCAGGCACGAACGGGCACCTGAGTAGAACCACCGACGTTCCGTAAGCTAGGTGGATAGCTTCCTCACATGAAAGAATCCAAAGTCCATGTCGGGACCTTAACCACTCGGCCACGGACGTCTTGCTCATTTTATTTGATATACTATATTGTCTATATTCATATTTAGCCCGACTGTTGTAACCACATTCAGGCTATCCTACTCACCCTGGCGTCGGCGATGTTCTGCATGCATTTAAATATTTCATAGACAAATGATTGGATTCATTTGAGACTTCACACATGTTTTATTGATAATTATAGGTACATTGTAGCAGTCAAAGACCAAAAACTTAAGCATGGATTTTGATTGAATGATACTCTCTTTAACCATTGAATATATAAATCCACTTTAAAACGTTACACATGTCCTCAGTTTGTGTGTGTGAGTTTGTTTATCTCACCTACCGAGGTAAGTGTGTCAACTTAACTAATGCAAAGTGAGGTTTAACCTACTTTGTGAGGCCTCGGAACTTTAACCTTCGCTCCTATAAACAGCCTAAGATTGTAGAGACAGTCCGTTTAGTTTAGGTTTAGAGACTCGATGTGGTAGGTTTAGGGTAAGGGTTAGAGTTAGGATAGAAAATAAAACATGTATGTTAGAACCAGTATTTTATTACTTCATTTATATTTATATTATTTCCTACCACTTTGAATTCTGTTCTGACAGTTCTGTCCTGCAAAATTCTCTAGGCACTCACAAACATAGGTGGAGCCTTCCGATGCAAAACAAAAGCCACCATTTTGACACGGTTGACTGTCACACGGAAACTCTTCAAGCAATAGGTAAAAACATATGATATCAAGTTTATTTTCAACATAGTTTTCATCTTTCATTTTCGTAAATACAAATGTTAAAAACTATATAAAAAGTAAGCAGTGGTATAAAAAAGATTTTAAATACGAAACTAATGATGTGTCCCGGATGTGTGCTTCGGCGCAGCAGACATTGTACCCAAATGTATTTTATTGGGAACAATCTTAGATTGTGCATGTAAATGCAGTATAGGCAAAGAAATTTGATAGGACATATCTAGACTAAATATACTATAAAAACTTACGTCCGCAAAATGGCGTCAACCCCGTCCATTTACCAGTTTTTGAGCAGGTACGAGTTGAGTCTCCTCTAAGAACTTTGTAGCCTATGTCACAAGTGTACGTTACTGTACTTCCAACAAACAGATTTCCAGACACGCGTTTTGAACCGTTTTGTATATCAGGAGGATTTGGGCAGACGACATCTGTCAAACGACATATAAGAAAAAGTCACCTTAGTGCAATAACGGAATAAGTCCTTCTAAATTTAATAGCAGTTAATCATTTATTCGATTAAGGTGATGGAAAGACAAAATTTTGAAATTTGTATGAAGAAATAGATTCGACTGATCCGTTACATGGTTTTACTTTACAGAAATACTCTGTGATATGCATGCAACTACATGAAAATCTTTATACATTTATAAACATGAACGTTTGTGATTATATATTTACACACAAAGGTAATAATTATTATTGAAAACTGAGACTTATAAATCTTACTATATCTAATTCCAAGAGCAGCCCCTTGCACGTGCGGAATTACGTGAGTTGTTGCAAATCCGCCACACCCACCGAAATGCGTTTCATATTCTGAGAAGTATGATATTGGGATATTTTCACTAGGCGGTACTTCATTGGCTGCGTCTACCCATTGATGAATCAAAGTACTGTCCGAACCATAATTTGTTACTGCATTTTTGTTCTTGTTAAATAATAAAGCGAAGTAGCTGTTTGGATTTCCGTCACAGTTCGTGTACGTGACGTCATGTCCGTTAACCCTGTGAAAGTATGAAAGCAAACGGATTGCATGAGTCTTCTTTGGTACAATTAAAATGATTCGTTCTGGGAAGAAATATCTAAATAGATGTTAAAAAATATAAATTACTTGTAAAGAAATTGAAAGTTTGCAATTTCCACAAATTGCTCGTGACAGCATTGAGTATTGCGTTCATCTGTTGCTGTTATGTATTCGGAAGACTTCGTCTCTTTCCGTTTTTAACATTAATTAATAAGAAAATAGACAAAATGATGTCTTGCTTCAATCGTAAAACACCGGCTCTTCCTGTATACTTCGGATAAGAGTCTGTCGCTAAGCATAATAGCCGAGGTGATCAGATTGGTCTTGCTCCTGCTCATGCCGACCTATACAAGACACGATAAGATGCGGAATATGTCGACTTCTTACTTCCCCTCAGCGTGAGCAGAAGATTTGAAGACTTGGGCTGGCGAAAAAAGACCAGAACTTGAACTGCGGACCAGCTGCTGGTGTCCTGACTAATGCCGAGGGAGTTCATGTACGTGTATTGCCTAAATTATTTTTACAAGTTTAAAAATGAATTTATTAACTTGAAAATGCTTAGAATGTTTATGTTGGCAGACTTAACGTCATTATTAAAGAAGTTACGTCACCTGTAGCCGTGCACTTCACCCATGTGTATTTTTGCAGCTGGGGTGAAGCCAACGTATATGTATGGGGCCATATTAGCGTTCAAAATGCCGTTGTAGTTCGCGTGAGCATTGTATTGTATAGACAGGGGAGTGCTGGCTAATCTAGAAATCTGCTCTAGCCACGCAACATATTGTTTTCCGTTTGTTCTCAAGTCCCTGATGAGAACATGACTGTTGTTACTGCCTTTCACAAGGTCAGCGATGTTCACAGGCACGCTGGTGGCCGGAGAAACGTACGTGTACCCGTAACCGTCGTGTATTTCACAGTATACATGGTAGGTTTGACCTTGTCTATTAGATATGGTGTATTCACCGCTAGTCCGGGTGAGGTCCGATGTGTAGACATCTGCGCACGAGTCTAAAAAGAAAGAAAGAAAATTAAAGCGAGCTAATCAACATTTTATATTTTTGAGTTCTCGCCCTTGTTCCATTTAGTGTAAAACCCATCTTATCATTTTCAAGTATCATGTAAAGGCATCCTTTCGCCGGATACAAAGGACATAAAAAGACCTAAATGTTTCGAAAGTTCGCTGGTTAAAGCGAGTCAAAGCCCTAAAAATTTTGTTGGACAGATGATGACAATTTGAAAGTACGGTTTAAACATACATGTATTTATTTAAGCTCGATTTCGAAAAACAGTTCTTGTAACTTATATTAATAACTTTCGAGTCCGCTTTTTGGAACCAACCATTACTGGTGTCATGTGAAGAAACATGGTTGTGACCCGATTAGGGCTTGAACCCATGATCCTTAAGTTGAGAGGCAGACTCCTTAGCCACTAGGCCACCGCACCCCTTTGTTAAAAGATTGACGTAACTTAATTGTAACAACTGATAAGTAATTATTTTTAGATGCCAGTACTGTTACTGTACAATGTAAACAAAGGACCAATAATTCATTTTTTTTATAACTTAACGCCATCATTAATATGTAATAACCTAAATTGAGAACAATCCGAAAATCAAATAAAATAAGAACTTCAAAGTGATGTATTTATAGGTTGTTTCTAGTACATGTATCACAATACATCATTGAAATAAGCAGACGTTACGAAATATAATTTTGAAATATACATACGCAGCTGTGTTACAGCAGAGACACGGACAGACAAACACAAGCAAAGTACAAAAACAAATCCCATCTTTAACACCTTAATGCCTGATACTAGTATTAGTTAACTAGGTGGATTTCAAATTGCCAAGCCTTTGCTTAGGCCTGAGTTATAATTTTCTTATCTGATAGCGAATTAAACCTACAAAAGTTGGTCTGTACTATTTAGAGAGTTCAGGTGATAATAGCTGTTAATTTTTGTTTGTATGTCCTTTATGTGCCAATGCCACCTACACCTACGCCCTTAACATAAAAACAACTTTAGACTGCTTTCTTTTTAGCTAACTCCACCACACCCATCCGAGCCAGAATGGTATTCTTTCAAATGTCTTTCTGTAGAAAACTGTCATTAAAATCATTAAAACGCGTATTCTCTCTTCCAGTATATTTTGAAATATTACATTTTTCAAACAAATCATATACATTTAGTCCTCAACCTTTTCCATTTTTTTTAAAAAAAAAATGTTGACTGCTCTAATGTAAATTTATGTATACAATTGAGAATACATATGTTCTTTTTTTTTGGCAAATCGAATTCGCCGGCTAGTATGTAAATTTTACGTATTTTCGTACAATAATACATCATTCTCGTAATTTCGTCACCAATTAGCTAGTGCAATAGCACTTTGTCTTCATGTATATGAATTCTACAAAAACGCATTTTAGGAGTCCATCAAGACCTACTGAATGGTCCGATTTCGTGGTATATCATCCATTTTAATAGCTTGGAGACCCATCTCCATGGCAACATTAGACTTTAGAATCTCAGTTGCCTGCAAGTTTAAAATATCTACGAAGTTTCCTAAAAAAAACCAATTTTCTGGAGTCCATCGTTAGTTACCCATTGGTAATATTTTGTTACCAGTTATCCAGTGCAGTACCTGAGATGATCACCTTTATCACAAAATAAGGCCATTAGATGCCGCATGGCTTTGACGTTTCTCTGTAACGTGATTTTGTTCTTTCACTACATAAACTCAATGAAATTTCGTAGTCAGCACCATTTTCCGGAACTCGCCGTGACTGACCCATTGTTCCGATTATATTGCAAACTTACCAGTTCTCCATATTACGACAATATAAGACACAGGACGCGGTCCCAAGAAACATGGCCGTCATATACCCGTCCGGCATAAGCATTTAGATTTCGCGGCGATTTTATCTTCTGGTACGAAAAACAAAATTTTCAGGAGTCCGACGTGACCTACTAAATGGTCCTATTTCGTTGCAAATTATCCATTGGAATAGCTTGGAAAACAATCTTCATGTCAAAACACGGCCAAAGAAACATTAACATGACCGTGAGATGTCCGTATTGCATAGGTTTTTGTGTTGGGGTGGCAATTCTTGTCTGTTTGTATATAAATTCTACGTGTTTTCATAAAAGAATTTTTTTTATATATTCCAGAACCCATTTGTAAACTTTCTATTGCCAATTAGCCAGTTCAATAGCTTAATGGATTCTGTTTGCCGCAATATACATCTATGCCAAATGACATTAATGTAATTAATCTATGTAATCTCTCTCTACGAAATTGTGTTAGAATCAACTTTTTTCTCTCTCACAATGACTAACCATTGTTCCAATTACATTTCAAAACTAGCCTGCTTAGTTTAGTTTCTTCACAGTATTGAAATATAAGACAGCGCTAGCTTAATAAGAAGCTCGCACGTGCTCGCGTGACATTGACCTTTTAAATTGTGTCTTCGTGTTCTGATTGCGAGGCAATTTCGTCTTCTGGTGTGTGAAGTTTACGTTGCTTTGTAGAAATGCGAAAAGGAAAAATCTTGGAGACCCAAGTTTATGACAATATAAGAACACAGAATATATTTTGAGGGTTTGATGCGAAACAGCTGTATGTACCTTATATTACAAAATGAAGGAGTTACGTCTGCATCGCACCGATCCATCGATTTTACACATGGGTCAATGGCATGAGGTCTGTTTTTTTTTGTTTGTTTTTTAATGCGTTTATTTAAGGTCGCCGCCGGAAAGCCCATATGGGCTGCCGTACACTCAAGTCGGGCCATCCTAGAGCGTCCCGCCGAGATTTTTCCGTCGATTTTTTCTCCAGCTTTATTGGTGAAGGAAGACCCCAGGTGCCCCTCCGGCCATTTTTTCAGGTACGAGCGGGCACTAGGGTAGAACCACCGACCTTCCGTAAACCAGCTGGATGGCACTAGGTCTGGCTTTCCAAAACTTTATTAGCCGCCTTTTTAAACATTTTCTTTGATCAGATGGCATTTTGGCAAAAGAAGTTAACCATTTTTAAGAACTCGTCGTCATGTACACATTGGTCCAATCCCGTTGCAAACTAGCCAGTGCAGTAGATTTGATTATCATCTTTACTACCTGTAACATAGGACATATGGACCTCGCCGTTAAATGACCAAGTGACATTTGCGTTTCCCTGTTCTTTCTCTATATAAAATAAACGGTATATCGTTAAAGGAGCCCACCATGGCTCATCCATTGTTCTGATTACATTGAAAATTAACCAGCGCAGTAGTTTAGTTCCGTCACAATATGACAATGTAAGCCAGAGGCCCGCGTGACATAGACGGTTTAGATTGCGCGACAATTTCTTCTGTAAATACATTTTATATACAAATTCTATGTAGTTTTTAAGAAATACCGGGTACGCAAATTATAGGAGTCTGCCATTACCTTCTAATTGGTTCGATTTCGTCCACCTCACCAGTGCAATAGCTTGGTGGCTGAGGTTTACTTCAGTATAAGAGAGACTATGCTTTGAGGCGGGTCTGTATGAACATGCTTGAAAAAATATAGTCCAAAGCATATAAAATGCAATTTCGTAAAAAGCACAATGTTCCGAAGACAACAGAAATTTACCCATTATTCACTCTACATCCGCTTTTGCTATAGCTTTGAGTCTCCACTTTACAGGATTGCAAGGTGTGAAACATGGGCACCAAGTGCCGACGAAGCATCTGGGCGTATTTGCTTCTCGTAGTTTTGAAAGAAATACGTAATTTTCGGATGCCCGCTGTGACCTCCTCACTAATCCGATTTCATTGCGGATTGTCAGTGCAAAAGTTTGGTGCCATTTAAAGACCCTGTATGTTATAATTGAGGTTGTATACTACATTTCAGTAAAATTTTATATATGTATATAATAATGCTAATAAAACAATTTTCAAACATCGAAGAATATGTAAAATATGTACTGCAAATATTTGTGCACATTATACATTGTATGTAATCATTGAAATATATGCATTCATTTCTTATTGAAAAATTTGACTTAGACTTTATAGAAAATAAATTTCTAATTACCTCCCTTTATTTACATGAAATGTTAAAGTCGGTAATATCTTTCTAAATAATGCTTTTTGGAACTTACAATATTGATAAATCTTAATTTGAGCATCATATTTATAATTTAAAACCATAAAAAAATTGTATTACAGGATCTTTAAAACACTTTATGCCTCAGACACGATTTTTTTTCCTCGGATTTTTAGAGTATGTTAGATGATTATCTTATCGCAAAGTTCACAAAGAAAATATCAGGATCAGGATCAAGTGATCCTGATTTTATTTCCATTGTTTTATGTTACTAAAATTTATTGTGTTTTGCTGGAATAAAATAGTAAATATTCAAAATGTAAAAAACTGCTGATTTGCAAAGAAATCAAACTATTTTGGAATAAAATTAACAAATAACAAAACAAATACAAAAATATTCGGATCAAAATAAGGATCAATTTTAGGATCAGGATCAATATTTGGATCAACTGTAAAATGTCCGTATCTTGTAAAAATAACAATAAATTTATTCTAAAATTTCATTAATTTGCTACTGCAAGTCCAGTTTTATCAAATTAATTTTAGATATTTAATCTATGAGGATAAAAAATGAAGAATATTAGAGGTTTTCAATTTGATCCTGATCTTGATCCTGATCCTTAAATCTTTGTGAACACGGGGCCAGAAGAAATTAGCATTCGGTGAGGCAAAATAACAGTAGATTTTTGACTTCCATACAAATAGGCCCTACTTGATCACCACAATACAACAGATGCTTAAGATGGTCAAGGTAATAAGCTATTTGGTAACTTTTTTGGAAACTATAATATGACACCTATAGTAAACTTTAGAAATAAAACTGACGGCATTTCTTATGCTTTTAAACTTGTATACATATTAATTGCATTTTTTATTTAAAAAGTACTTTTTAGAAAATTTACAATATTGGAATACAAAAATGTTGCGTTAGAAGTTATGTTATGTACTAATCGAAATGTGAAAAAAGAGAAATGTATGGGGAATGATAAAAAATCTTTCTATTTAGTCTATGCTTAATGAGGGTCAATTCATCCTTTCAGACACTGAAAGTACGGACCTCAGAAAAAAGTTCATTGGTGTAACCACAGGAACTTGAAATTCTATCAATATTAACGATAATATGCAAAATATTCCCCAATATAGTATGAAAAACACAAGGAATGAAACGCCTTTACCAACCCCAACATAATTTACCGCGAACAAATCAACAAAACAACGGTTTTTATTTGTTTGGTTCGTCAGACCAAACAAATAATGGTAGCAAAACTTCAGACCCTGATGTGCTTATTTGCAAAATCCGAAAGTAGTCCAAACTCCTCGAAGCGGTTACTTCCCTTTAAAAGTACATTAACGCCGAAAGATTAAGGGGAGATCACCGCGTAAAGATTGTCAAGTGACAGGCGCATTAATTGTCGAGCCTTCTCGGGGAAGAAAAAATAGTTCCGATTGTTCAAAGATTTCTAAAATTGTGCTATTCTTTACAAATGTACATGCTTATATTAAGCTCCATGAGTATTCACAACAGTGTTAAACAACACGTTTACCGTGAACAAAATATCTCGAAATTAATATGGGTTACAAACCCTTATTAATAACGTGGTTTTCTTTAGGCTTCACGGTTACACCCTCGTTTAGGAAGCGAGAGGTCTGGAGTTCAAATCCAGTTAAGCAACTCATGTTTTTTTGTTTTTCTTTTTTTTAATTGTTTAAGCCAAATAAACATTGAAATGAATATCAGTGTTGCATTTAGCCTTATAGCCAATTTACTACAGTTATAACACTTGAAACAGCATTGGTGGCACTATACAAAAACAAATTGGTTTATAATCTCAAAACTTTCACCTTTCTGACATTCTGAAACCCAAACAAATTCAGCGCCTTCTGTGCTTTGATTAGTATATAGGGGGTATTTTCACTATTTTGAGAATTATCATAAATATTGGTTATTTGATAGAATTTCAAGTTCCTGTGGTGTAACTAACGGCGATTCGGACTGCTTGGATGCTAAATATTCGCAATTTTGCCAGAAAGAAATCTTTGCAAATTAGCCAATGCATTTGTGCCGTCTGCTACCGTGGTAGATTTTGTTTAAAAAATGTTTGTTGAATGCATGTATGTACAAAAATATACACGCACTGGAGCTAGCATTTGGAATTAAAAAAATTGTTATTTCTGAGTTAGTTTTTAAATTAGACTACTTTATTTTTGATGACATGAAACCACAAAGCTATTTATGAGTCTGCGATGAAATCTTATATGGCACGGTTTTGAAACCCGTGCTTAAGGGTAATGGATGCGCGCGAAGTAAGACAGGAGTGAAATTTTCTTCATTAGGGCCTACATAATAAAATAAATAAGATATAAATATTAATATATCCTCATTCATATATAAAATCATAAAAATAGTTATATGTAGGCCTAAATGTTGATAAAGACTATGTACATAGCGAATAACTGTTTTGCTTGGGTAAACATGGTATGTTGAAACAGACTATAGCCTGGGTTTTCTCACAACCTTCATTTAAACCAATGAAATTTGTCGACACAGTTTAGTATTCAATGAATACACAAAGATGGCTGAGCATAACAAGGGAGGGATTTTAAATAAAGCTGAAGTTTTTCTGCGTCGCCGAAAAACGAAGGTAAGTCTCCTTTCGATTTTTTGTTTGTCAAGTTAAATTTTATTACCTGCATCTAACGATTATTTTGCAACAACCGTGGCTTCTTAATTTCAGTGAAAACTTTGATCGTTTTAGCAGGTGTGTACAAATTTTGTGACAGTTGTCAAAATGTCTTCAGGTTATTTTAGCTGTCACAGTAATAAATACGACTGAAGCTGTTGACCTTACTGTATGGTAACTGCAGTTTAGTTTAGTTACTCAAAAGGTGCGGGTCCTACTATAAATGGGAGTATTATTTATACGAACCCTTATTAATATAATTTACTGATTCCCGACCTACCTTCTTAATTGTTTTACGGGGTCCTTTAAAATAAAAAAGTCAAAAGAATTGGACATCATGTAATTTTTGAAATGTTTATTTTTTGGTCAGTGTCAAATAAAATATCCAGATATTTGAAAAATGGTGGTATTTGACAAGTGTCATTTCTATAAAGGTTATCCTAAATGTTACATCAATGAGCAAAAACTTATTGTAGAAATCCTTAGTTAATAGCTTATTGAATACAGTATGCTTTGAAATCTATTTCCACTGTTAACATAAAATTTTCTACCTCATTGAACATGAAAAATTTTCCCTCTTTAAATATGCAATCTGCTTCCTCTTTTTATATGAAATCATCAAATTGAAATCATCATTAAATTTTCTTCCTCTTCTTCAACATGGAATTTTCTTCCTGTGTTTACATGGAATCTTTAACAACAAACTTTCTTCCTCTGTTAATATGTCATCGTTAATATGAAATCATCTTCATGTGTTACTTTTAATTCAATTTTAAACATGAAATCTTCCTCCTCAGTTGTCATGCAATCTCCTTCCTTCCTTGGTTAACATTTGCTTGCTCCAGCTGAATTCCAAAATATTTTAATATTTTCAATTCAAGGCCCTGGAAATAACACATTGCCAAATAAAAATGGTCTCAAAGCATTTCTGTGATAAGAACAATTCATTGGTAAATGTCACATGAAAGGAAACATAGTCATATATAGGACTTGATTTCTGTAGTTGGAACTTTTACTACCAGAGTAATGCATTGTAGATAGAAATTCTGCTACCAGTGTACCATATATTATTATGTTTTGATCTGTTTTTATCTTCCCAGATATCAGTGGTTTTACCTGATACTACATAGTAATTTACTAATTATCCCAGAAATAAGAAAATAAACCATTTATTTTTTTTGCTTATAATAATCTTTTTTTTTCAAAAATGGACCTTAAGTCCTTACAGTTTACCACTTGAGATCTAAGTGAGGTACAAATATGATGTGATTGGCAATACATGTATGCGAAACATATTTATCAAACTTGTTAAGAAGTCAACTGAATTATTTTCTAGTACTTTTTCATAAATTTACATTTTAGCAGCCATTGCTTTACTTCTTGTGTTAGGAAAATATATCTGATTAATACTAGAGAGAAAATCAGAATTCCACACACAAAGATTTTTGCTGACGCCTAAAATGTTGTTATACAAAGCTAGGCATCATTAAGGTTTTCTTCTACCATATAAAAACATAGAATTGTTTATAAATATGTACACGTCATGTATAGAAATGTTGGCTTTTCCAATCAGAGATAAAAAGTGACCAATTTTATTGTTGGGTACACAGTACATTACAGTGAAGTGTTATTTAGTATCAAAAATTATTTTCTGTTTGTATCAGATTTCATATGCCTTAATTTAAGAATTTTAGGTTTATAAATAATTTCAAGTATTACAAGGAAGGGCATTGTAGATGTTGGTTTCATACACTGGCTGGTATTCAAACCTTTGATAAATTTAAAAGGGGATTGACAGTGCAGACATTTCAATTTGTTTACTACTAACTGATGCACAACCACGCTTTAATCAGTTAGTAGATTAGGGAGAAAACATTTAGCTATACAATTGCATAGCTCCTCCATTATAAAATCAAATACTTCAATCTGTTTGTCAATATTGACCAATATTTGATCAATGTATCCCCCCCTGTTAAACAGTAGAGCAACCTTTATTTCAATTATACATACATTTAACAGTTTAAATTAGTTTTCAGTATCAGTGAAGTTGTTTGTTTAGCTTTGGAATGGTCAATATGGTCATTCATATATAAGATAGGGGGGACAGTCTACCTTCAAGTGAACACTTTATTTAATATTAACGGTTCTTTAATGGCATTCCTTTCATATTGCGATAGCCTAACTGATCTAATAGTAAACTGGTCACAAAAATTTGGAATGTATTAAAAACTATTATTTAATGTTTACTTTTTATATGTAGATATCATATAATTGCATTATATGTATTATGTACAATAAAAATACAGGATTAAAAAAGAAATTTTTTAGGCTTTCTTTGTACCTACAACCAATGCAGATCAAGATCAACTGGCATGACATCTGTGATGTTTGATCATGGTCTGCACTGTTCCATATTCAGTCGGTATATATTTTGAAATTTTCCCTGAAAATAATTAATTGTTATGTCCAGTCCATTTGGTCATCTTAGTGCAATAACTGGTTAACTTCTATTGAATTATGAAGGACTTAACCTATTACTGCACTAAGGTGTTGAGTTTTAAGATATTAAGTTTGATTAGGGGAAAAATATTAAGATTGATAAATGGTATAAGTATATTAAATTGAAACCAGGAAATGCAGGTATTGAGTGGAAAAAGTTGTTGTTGAACATAATTGCACAATATGCTTGTATGCGACTGTAAAATACAATCTTAGATTACAACTGAAATTATTCTAATTATTCAATTTTGTTTTCTTCTCAGTATAGAGATTACAATAATAATCATGATATCATAATCTGTTATCTGTCTCTGCATTAATCACCTCATAAATATTTCAAGTTGTTTTTATCTAACACTGCTATATTTGTATAATGAACTTGTCCTGCAGTGAATTTAGACTAGTCTAGTGTCAATGTGGGGTGTTTCAATGTAAAAATAGAATTCAACATGGATATCTTAAATGGACTTGTTCTTCTCTCATTGATTCAACATTTTTCAGGGAAATTATGAGAATATGTAAGGTACTGACTGGAAAGCAAACAGTGCAGACTATGATCAGACAGTGCAGGTGTGCTGGCTAATATTGGTCTGCACTGGCCACTTGGTTAATAGTAGTCTCAATATTTCGACTGCAAGACCAACCGATTTTACAATCTGATAATACATAGATGTCTGTCTTTACTTTAGAAGGGCGACCATCATTTGTATAATAAAAAGCCCTTAAGCACACCATTTGTTGGGCAAGAATGATAGCCGACTAGGGTAAAAATAACTTGAGCTAGCTCTGTCCATACATGTATTATACCTACAAATTACATATATTTTATATTGGACAAAAAGATCAAAAACAAACACAATTTTAGATATCAATACATATTTCACTTTATTAGCTTCATCAGTTGATAAATAACAAAGGAAAATTATTGTATCATTGAACAATATTTTATATTGTAACCTCAGTGCAAAATTATTGCAGCAGCCTGGTTCGAAGATGCCTTTAAATACCGTACTGTACTGTCCGACTTAAATTGCTATGTAGGTAGAGACAAAATAATTGATTTATAAATGTGTCACCTTTTATAAGAGATGCATTTGTCACTTGTTAAAAGTCTGATTAATTATAAGACTTTTTTTCTGCACCTAAAGCCTTGTTTTAGATATTTATCATCGCATATTTCTTAAGTACATTGTAATTAACACTTTCGTTATTAACACACTTGTTATTTATGTAATGACTGGATGATTCAGTTATTAACACAGTTGTTATTTATGAAATGATAGAATGATTCACTAATGCAGTGATAGGATTAGGTTTGATTTAAATATTTCAATTATGTTGAGAGAAAAAAAACTGCTCAACATAGGTCACGTGCTAAAGTTACCTGCGAAAAGTGAACCAGACATGTTACTTGTCAAATTTTGAAGTTTTGACAGCTGTATTGACACCTATAGATACATTAACAAGGAGTGAAGCATGCATCCTAAACATGGACTTTATGTATAAATGTGCAGGTCATGTTACATTTTATGTTCTGCTCTTGTTAATGTTGTAACCAAACATGCCTTCATTTTGATTGAAGTATTTCAAAGTTAATTGAGGCCAGAAGAGATCATATGAAAACATTAACTGAAATGAAAATGATGTACAGCCTTTGCCATAGTCAGCAGCCTGTAAATTCATGCAGTGTTTGCATTAATTTTGTAACTGCACAAATATGCATTGGACACTGTATTCTTTATTAAATTGGCCCCTCATTGGCCCTGTATTCTTTAAAATTAGCCCTTCAATTGCCCTGTACTCTTTATTAAATTGGCCCCTCCTTTGCCTTGTTCTCTTTATTAAATTGGCCCCTCCTTCCCCCTGTACTCTTTATTATATTGGCCCCCTCCTTCGTCCAATTTGGTTGCATCTGCCCTTTTTTGGTGCCCATTTAAGTGCTATTGCTTAAAATTTACTTTTATAATATTGTACGGTATGCATTGAACATTGCTCTCCTGAATAATTCTCATATGTTATTCTGTTGTTTCTTTACTGATTTGTTGCCAAGTTTTTAGTATTTTGATGCAGAAATCCCTAGAAATAACAATGAGTGAGTTCCAAATTCAAAGCTTGACAAGTCCATGGTATAAATTAAGGGGATAACTGTTAATAATACAATTTTTAGTTTTATATTCTTGTCCCCATTCTCACCATAATCTAGTCTTTTGACATAGGAATGCTAAAACTTGCTCCGATAGTCAATAGTTATGTGAATAAAAACATAGTGGAATAAATTAATTTTATAGTTTTAGTTGTTATCCTGTACGTAAGTCAGTTATGTTAATTTATACAATGTTGTTATGCATATGTAATTAAGGTATGTTGATGAATGATAGTGACTTTAGGGACTTTTTTTACTCCACTGGTTTTTATTTTCCTCCCTCAAATTTTTGTCATTGTGCTAGTAATAGCATTGTTAATGTATAATTTATAATAACTCTTTTTCTTAGTTTAATGGTGGCAAAGAGGGGACATCAGCAATTTGCATGTGACAGCTACTATGTGCACACATGACTGTTACTATGTGCACTCTCGATAGCTACTTTTTGGGCACATGATAGCTACTATGTGTGCATGCGATAGCCCCTACGTTGGTCAGTCATAACTTGCGCTCGAGATAGCTATTACATGCAGTCATTACATAAATAACAAGTGTCTTAATTACAATAGCTTGTACGTGTGCATGGAGTAGCTATTGCATATGCACGTGGTAGCTATCTCGTGCACACATATAAGTAGCTATCACATGCGCACATGGTAGGTAAAATATTTCTGCGGCCCTTTTATGCCAACATAGAATTTAGAACTGTCCATTGGGCATGAGGGGTTTTGTTAATTGGACAGCCAATAGTTCAGCAGCACCTTGATATTCAGAGGTCATTTTGGTAGTTAAGTTTTTTAGAGCATATGGATGTTTCAAAAATACACTTTGTTTACTCCTCCATTTCCTCCAAGTTCCAATCAGTATGTGGAATGTTGTTTTTAATTTAAATGTAATGATGTGACATAATAAAGATATGTATTTTAATTGTTATTGTCACAGTGCAGACTCAATTTGTTTGTGACATTGCTCCAATTAGTACCTGGAATGTTTTTGTTTTTTTCTGATGTGACATGATAAAGATATGTATCGGTATTTATAATTGTTACAAAGTATACACTCCATTTGTGTGTGACACTGCTTCATTTAGTATTTTGTAGATTTATTTTGATGTGAGAAACATTACTTGTTCTGTAATTGTCACTTAGGCTGTGTTCAATTTTCAATTAGGTTAATAAAATAATACAAGCTTTTGCATTCATGTATTCCAGTTTGAAAGATGTATATAAGAAGTAAATTAATGGTAGGGCAGACTTCAGATAGCCGTCCCAATTTGGTCATATGGAGAAGCCATAAATAAAACCTTAATTTCTATGGACGTAGGGTCACGGGTTCAAGACTTATTAGATAAAACTAAAATATTTTGTTAAATTTGCATTTCTGGTCATCTGATCTCTTATTTACTATTATTTACATTTGATCTCTGATTTACTGAGTTTCTAAATATTCATGTCCCCCTTTAAGGTCATGTAATGGTTTTCTATGGGCACTATTTGATGTGGCACTTGAAACCACATCATGGCGATTATGGTATATAATTAACGAAGGCGTGTGACATAAATTACCATTAGACACCTTTGTGCCTCATCCTTGACCAGTCAAATCAATCGAGAACGTTGCAGAGTTAAAAAGTATCCGGTTTCATGTGTATAAAACATTCTCTTAAAGCAATCGTATTTATTCACTGTATAATTATATGACCCATGTATTATTGAACACTTTCTTAAGGTTTAAAAGTCAACTACATGAAACTGTAAAGTGATCGAATTGTGCTGACTGGAAATGTTTTCAAAATGTTCGCAAGCCTCGAGGCGAACCTGTCATCTAATTTTTCTCTCGTCACATCCATTCACCTATTTTATCATTCACAATATCTCTAAAATGTTTTAAAGTACATTTATGTTTATCTTGATAAAAAATCTGTCACCTCTCAGTGCAGAAGTATCTTTAGTGTATCTAATACTTTATTATCAACCATCACTTGGTAAGTTTCGAACATCTTGCACATATGTAATGGAATGCAGTACCATTTACATAATGGACATATACTGCTTTAAATTTAGAACATTCAAATAAATGTAGTACTTTACACGTGGCCTGTTTCTGGCTGCAGACCCATGATGCCGTGTAGTAAGATTATGGTCCAGCACTGTTTGATATTCAGTTACTTCTCTATTGAAATCTTTAAATTTTTTCTAAGAATGATAAATTTTCATGTCCAAAAATTAAACATATTTTATTTCAAACATTTTGCACAAACAAAATTGAGAAAAAATAATTATAATGTATAACACAATATAAGGCTGGAAAAGGATCAGATCCGAAATTCATAAATGCTTATTTTAGGCCTTTACTAATGATTTCCAAATTGAAAGATGGATAAGTCCATTTTAGAGATTAAGTATGGTAGCAGAGTTGAAGGAATTTCATTAACAAAATTAATGCAAAAAGTTTAGTAGTCAGCAGTACAAAGCCTGCAGTCTGAGCCTTGTCCAAGACTGCATGGATGTGCAAGCCCAGGTCTCGATCTATACTGGTATGATATAGAAGTTATTATTGCCTGTAGCAGTACGAGTGTTAAGATCTCGATCATATCTAGCATATGTAACAGTATGGAAAATAGCTGTAGGTATTTTGATGCATTAGGTGTTATATCATAAATTATCAGATTATAGCTTCATCAACTTAAAATGTTTTATCTTTATTATTAATCACTTAGGTATATATATATGTGCTTTATTATTGCTGCAGTTGATGGTGATTTAAAAATTTATTTCGTATTAATGAAGATTTTGACCGCCCCCAATTTAGACCAGGGTCGATAAGAGACTAATGTTTGGCCCATGGAATTGAAAGTTTGAGCTAATTGCAAGATGCAGATGGGGGTTTTTTGGTGATTTTTTTTTTCGGAGACGCAGTGTGTGTTTTATTTTCTGTTGTTGTGACTTGCTTATTACATAAAAATAAGTTATATGTCAGTTCATGAACACTTTTTGGCCAAATTGTATTGATGAACAGCTCATTTTTGTATAATGAACTTTTTCGTGAATCTATTTCATAGAGGACTTTAATGATTTAACCACACCATTAGTTCAAAAAATTTTTCTTTAGAGTTCTTCATATCATGAACTAAATCTCATCAGGATAGGCCATATATTTGCTGTTTTTTTAAGTATATCATAATGAACCTGCAGTGGATCAATTGACAGTGGAAAGTAGACCCCTGTCTTATTTACCCAGCATTGTTTAGGGATGTGGGGGTGGTCACGTTAGGGTAACTTGCTACTGTATGTGTTTTAAAATAGCAAATGGTATGCATATGTATTATGTATTATATTTTCATAGTCAGCTGAACACAAGCTGTTGATATCCTTCAATTTCTTGCATTTCTTATAGATTAATTTATTATTATTATTCAAGCGTCAGTTTTAGCAAACATTTATTTATATAGAGAAGCTTATTTTCTTCCTTATACTCCAGTCTATCATGTGATAAAACCCATAATGTATGACTCATAATCATATAGTTTAATGTAAATATCATAACGCACTTTGACCATATGTTTTTTTTCCCTTTTTTTTACCAATGTTTACAAGAGTCAGTGTCCGTGTTCGCCCTACATGATAAGTGGCAACCATTAAGCATGTCATAAAAAAATTGGATCTCAATATGATATATAATTTATGATCATTTTTAGGGACACGGAATAATCAAATATCATCACCTTGGTGCAGTAACAGCTTAACTCCTTATATATTTTAATACGAGTTAACCCGTTCCTGCACTGAGGTCACGAAATGCACTTCAGATAAACACTACTTGATATTTCTTAAGGTCCTTAATGTTTATTAATTGTTGGTTAATAAGTACTCCTTACTTTTGCTTTTTTTCATGCATCATTTATTGTTGAAGCATAAATTTATCACATCTGTTTTACATATATAAAAAGAAAGTCAATATGAAAAATGTATGTGAAGAAGATAGTAACATCCAGAGAGAGCCCCAAACCTTAGTATAATAAAGCTGATATGAGCCGCGTCATGTCAGAACCAACATAACTGGTTTGCATCCGCACAGTCTGGTCAGGATCCATGCTGTTCGCTTACAAACCCTATTACAAGTAGAGAAACTGATAGCGAACAGTATGGATCCTGATCAGACTGCGCGGATGCGCAGGCTGGTCTGCATCCATGCTGGTCGCAAACCCATTATGTTGGTTTTGTCATGACACGGCTCATATGAAACTTATTGAAGTTCAAATGTTATACTCAGGTGTCAGTAAGTAAGACATAGAGTTGCCAGAGATGATTCTCAGGGACATTTTTTGAGGGATTTTTATTAAAAAAAAAATATCAGGGAAGTTAGGTAGTTCAACTAATTGCACGACAGTTAAGTTGAGATATTGTGCTATTTTGAATGTGGGTAATATCAAGATTCTGACCAAGAACAAAAATATCTCAAAATTTAGCTTAGGTTGTCAAAATATTGTATAATGTGTCAGGAGAGTGGGAATAGTGGGGACTCTTACTATTAAACCCTTGATATAAAGACCCCATTATGATGTATCATAAAATCTCTGCCCTAGCTGCAAGTCCCTGGTATGTTGGTACCAAGACAAGTTACCAAGTAAACATTGATCATGCAGTTTAGGGACAACTGAGAGAAATGGCTTGATTTCCCTGCTATCCCCTGAACTCATCCAGTGTTGCATGGCAGGGTTACAATTGCCTGCATTAAGGAAAGCATTTTCTGATTCTTGTAAAATGTAATGAAAAGTAAGATATGTATTAATGTTTGATTTATAATATATTTACAGTTGTTACAGACCATTGGTAAACAGGAGAAGACCACAGATGATATTCTGTTAGAAAATTCCCAAAAACTTGAAAAACAACAGGTGAGTGTGACCACAACAATTTTAGCTTATACAGAATTTTTTAAATTCCATTGTGTTGGAAGCTGTAATGTTATAAAAACACTCTTCCTGGAACCAACCTGAGTACTAAGCTGGAGTTAGTGTTAAGGTTCTTCAAGGTATTAGGACTCACACAATCAGCAATCCAAAACCTAAGTTAACGAAAAACATGTCCAAATTATATTCTAAAAAATGATTTGTGAATTCTGTCATAATTATGAATTTAGCAATTGTGTTATGACATTTCTCAAACTCTTGAGGTATATGCCTAATAAAAATTGATCTATTAAAAACTTACTGGCACAGTTTGGATTGAGGCATGTATGCAGTCTGAATGAGACTTTCCATATATTTTCTTTTCCCCAGCTAGTGGTGAGGTCTACAGGTGTCACAAGAATGTTTCCTCATATGACATAAGTACTGTAGGAAGCAAATTCGACTCTGGTTTAGCTGTCAAATTTTCACAATTGAGCTTCAAAATAGTACGAGGGTTGTTCAAAAAGTAATAGGACTGGGAGTCTTGCGTATTCAAATTTCATTCAATTTAGAATATTTTCATATGTACAGCAATCGTAAAATGTTTTCTACAAAGCAAACATACGTTTTTTAATCTATTGTGCTAAACGCGCCTTTCCTTTGCTATTGAATAACCATGGTTACACGCAGCCGGCGCAGCACATAAATATAGTTATTGGAGCTAAGTTCTACTTCTAATTTATTCATAAATAACTATTTGTTTTCCCCTGTATTCCATCAATACGTTGACATATATTAATGTGACATTATGTTCAAATTTGACGTCATTCGGACATGAAATGGCCTATTTATTAAGTTTTGAACAGCAGCGGTCATAACGTAAGATGTAGAAATATGGCATTTGTTAACAAACAGAAAATGTGAGCCATCGTTAAATTCTACCAACAGATTGACTATAATCATTCAGATACACACAAAATGATTAAATAAACTAAGGACAATTATCCTGCAATTAGGACACTTGTTTTCAGCTGGCACAAACAATTCAAAAACTGCAAATACAAGATCACTAACGAGAAAGGGCGAGGATGAAAGTTGAAAATTGACGGGACGTTAGTGACGTCAATTGCAAAAGCGCTACAAAAGAATCCACGGTAAACGGTACGCGAACTGTTTATCGTTGTTTGTATCTGCTTCGGGTCTACTTATTCAGTTAAAAGGATTGTAAATAAGAAATTTGTTATAAACACTATTTTATTGTATTTAACTAGATATACGTGTAATCAATAAATTAATGTAATAGTTAACGGTAATAATTAGTAGTGTTTCCCGAAAACTTGTTTTAATAAACGATAGACTGTGCTAAGTAGAAAAGGATACTTTTCAATTGAGAAATATCTTTATTGTTCTGTATATAATCATATTGTTTTAAAAACATACAATGACATGAGTAAATTAATAAAATAAATTGCTTTTGCTTTAACATTTTCAGTCCTATTGAGTTCCAAGGTTACTCAAAAAACACGAGAAAACCCGGAGAATGACCGGCTATCGGGCATTTATTTTTTTTATTTTTTTTTGAAACAGTGGAACGAGAATGTGATCGCTTTTTTCTTGCTTCATCTCCACATATGAGGCAAAGTAAAAATTACATGACTCATACACCTAGAGACTAGGGAGACTACTTTCAGAAAGAATGACGCTTATTACAATTTCGATTTATTTTACGACGTCATGAACGTCAATTATTGTATTGTTAGCGTGCGCCGCGTTTCGTACCCCTTGTCATTTGAAAATTTCACAGAAATTTCATTTGTTTACATTTTGTTTTGATTTTTTCACTGTATATAGAGAACATGTTCCGATATTTGTCTCATGTAAAATTTTGTACGTAAATTTAAAAATGTGAACATTAGAGCTGCAGTCCTATTACTTTTTGAACAACCCTCGTATATGAATAGATAACTTCTTTGAAAATCTATAGAATTATAGAGAAGTCCAAAGAATGATTTGAGGTGTTACTATGAATTTTCATCCATACTTGTTTCATTGTTTCAGGAGGTAGCTAGCAAGTTTCAAAAGGAATTGAAGCAGTATGTACATTGTGCAAAAGGTAAGTCATATTTTTATAATTATTGAAATAAATGCTGCAAGGGAAAACTTTTACTTGAAAGAAGCTATTCAGTTGACGAAGGAACAGTAATGTTGTTGCTTTGAAAGTATAGTGCTAGTTTGTACATGGACAGGAGTTGCTTAAAAGTAACTCAATGGTTGCCTTTAAAGTAACTCAGGAGTGGCCTTTAAAAGAACTCCACTTAGATAGAAAAGCCTAAAAACAAATGATAATAATTTGTAACATATATCAACCAGACAGATATGCATAAGATAATTAAGAAAAAATTCTCAGAAATAAATTGAAAGTCTGATTAATGATATGTTTGTGCTTTTCTTAGACTGATTTGGTTGAAAAACAATATTTCACAATTTCAGTAGAATAATTATTCTAGAAACAGAGTGAGCAAATGATCTGAAATTTTACATTCTGAATTTCTAATACATCTTCTAAAAGGTATTGGATCAGGTGCATTCCTACTAAAATAAACTGTTATTCAAATGGCAAATAAACTGTTATTCAAATGCCAAATACATGTAGACTGTTATTCAATTGCCAAATAAACTTTTAATCAAATGCCAAAATTAATTTTAAAAGATAAACATTTTTGCTAAGTTGCATTATGCAGGCTTCTGAAAGAGATAATTTTTATATGTATAAGTCTTTGCAAAATGATCTTTATTTGCTTTAACTGTTCACTTATGTTCATACTTGAAATTGCTGGTTATAATGTAACATTTAATTATCATATTAGTGTAAACAGTATAGCCTAATGATATGTGTTGACTAGAAGAAAATAAGCTAATAAGGAAAAAAACAATTATCCTGCTGTAATAAATGCCTTAAAATATAGTTTTTTGTTCAGATTAATGTTCTAAAATTTTGTTTTTATATAAATGTATGGATGTTTCATTTCATGTGAAGAATTTTACATTTTTAACCCACAATACACTAAATATCTTAAATGGATTTGCCCATCTTTCAATATGCACTTAACTGTTTGTAAATATTAGGGAGGACTGTCTTTTAAAATTTGCATTGATTAAATTAGGATCAGAAGCGATTATGTACAGACGGCACTTGTTGCAAGTGTAAAATCTGTTGCCGCCAGCAGGCAAAGGGTTAAAAAGAAATATATGATACAGTCATCTTTGCTGCAATGAAATACCAAATACAGGTTTATTCCATATCAATTGTCGACGTTTTTGAATGTTCACATGATTTCCCTTTAGTGGATCCGACCAACCCCTACTGTCAGTGTATCAAAAGCAAAGTGCATGTATATTTTGTATACAGTTTGCAGGTGTATACAGATTTTAGGACAATAGTAAGTGATCTCAAAAATTTTAATGTCTTCTTGAAAGAAAAGGCTTGACTCTCTCAAATTACTATTTCTAGTGCAGACTGAAGTAAAAAAAACAACTGATTTTACAGTTGCCGAGGTATCAAACAGTGGACCGGAGATAAAATAAGATTAAACGGTTACTAAGGAGTGTATATATTATAGTAGATATAAATTGCAGGTGGTTTTATTTATGATATAATATCTACTATAACTGTCGAATGTCAGCCTTAACATTCCTGGCCTACTCGTTAAATAACACTCCCCGAACAATCACCTTTAACATGTCACAATATGAATGAAAACATCTCTACTTTGGTCCAGTTTAGAGGCGTGCGATGGACCGACTGACTTATCTCTTGCGATCCATTTTGTTCACTGTTCTCTTAAAAACCAAAAGACTCCGGATCTACACTATTTTTACCTTCGGAGTGAAGATCTTTAAGATTATTATTGTTTAATCAGGTACAAAATGATGAAATTCAATTAAATGTATACAGCTGGAGATTTTGGTAGTAGACTGTATTCTTTTCTATACATAGAAAAAGCATCCATGTAAAGAAAATACCTGTAAACCAGTCACCGAATAATGTTTTGTGATCATCCTTAGGTATCAAGTTTCATTCATTTTGTTGTATGTTATATGATACTGTAACATTTTATATTTTAACCCCATTAAAGCCGCTGAATTTGTATAATGGAGTTATCCAGCTTCCATTTATGGAACTGTCATTTTTGAGGATTCATAGTTAAGTCAGACATTGGTATAGATTCTGGTCACAGTCTGCATGGAAGGGCAGACTGGCTGGCCTACAGGGTACTATACTGGTGGAAAAGACTAAGCACCCAGTTCCTAAGCTAATCAGTACAAACAAAACTGTTAAAATAACATCTTTGTATCATCTTCTGTTCAGTTCTTTTAAAACTTCCAATGCAATGCAATCATATTTTGAGTTTGTGGTTGAACGACCTTGAAAGCAACTGCCTTGTTAGGCTGTTATGTGTATGTGAGAAACCACTTTGTAGGTATTGACTGTCTCAATTAAGGTGACTTCATGATTAATCATGATTGAAAACATTTTCCCTGTACTTCACTGTCATCTTTAATTGTTTAACTAATGGTTCGTTGGGAAAGGAAAAGATATATACACACAGAGACAATATGTTTTTGTTTCAATGAGATTCATTTATTGTGTTTCCTCTCAAGTGTGTGTTCCCATATGTTGTCAAAATAACCCTTGTCAATATGAAGAAGTAAATGGTTATATTTTCAAGAGGTTATTGTTATTAAGCTTAAGAGCTGTTATGAAAAGAGGCTGATGGTAGGGAGCTTGTATTTGTTTTTTTGTTTTTGGAAAAGTTCCCATTTTTGTCACTGCAGGATCTTTTATTTTTATCAGGTTAGGTGGTTTTGACCCCTGGGGTTGCTTTAAGTTGTTAACACCGGTGCTTAGCCAAAATCATCTTTCATATTTCAGCGCTATATGACCTAAACTATGTTGGTGTGCTGTAAAACCAAACAAAACAAACGTAGTCACTTTGCAGGAGACAGTCATTTGACTATAGTGTGTTCACTGATTATGTACAGATACTAACTTGTTTCCCCACCAGTAACTGTCAACTTCTCAACATGTAAAAGAAAGTATTAAACTGTTTTCTATCAAAAATAGAAAAAAAACATGTACACATTGAGTTAGATCAAGGCTCACCAGAGCTTTTCCTTCGATACAGCTAGAAGTTGCCATAACACCTTTACAGGGTTGGTATGATTCTTTTTCTGTTTCAAAATCACTGGCAACACACTGACAATACACTGACAATACACTGACAGACTGACTACAAAGTATATTACAAGAATTGCAAGTTTAAAGTTTAATCTATTTATAGAATAAAAACATTAAATGTATAGGTAGGCATGCAGTGAGTTTCAAATGAAACGTGATTGTTTTCATTAATGTTTCTATATAGGTGGCATATTGTTACTCATAAGTTGTCTAATTTTACTACATATTTAAATTTGCCGTAATTTACTACAGTTTAATGTACCAAAATAATCTGACCTAATTTTGGAATGAATAATGCATAATATATAGGTATTTGATACGGTCTAAAATACTTCGTAAATTTGAGTATAAATAATAATGGGGAAAAGGTAAAATATTTGAAATAACTTGAGATGTAGCGGAAACTTATATGATAGTGTTGAATTTAACTACTGTTTAAAGTTCCGAGTTTTATTTGCTCGGGTGTCAGTTTGCCTTACATAAATATTTTCATAATATGTCAGGCTTAACTGACCATAAAATTTAATATGATTTATCAAAACAGTCAAACAAGGCATGGTGTTTATTCAGGGTTAGCGACTCATTGAATCATGAGACTAGAAGCCGAGTGTAGCTTCTCGATGTTGTTTTTGTTAGATATATTATGTATGTCTTAACTTAGCTTCTCCGTGTTGCTAAGTTTTATTTTTATGTTTAGCATGATCCAAATTGTTGTAACTTAAAAAAATTTAAATTTAATGAAAACTAGGGCAAAAATTGTCAAATATTGCCATAATTAGAATGCCAGCATGAGAAAATGAGTCTTTAAACATCATTTTACTCATGATGTCAAAAGACGTTAACGTTGTTATTGACATTCAAAATAAAAATGTGAATTACCCTTGAAATGTTAAAGATATTTAATATGAATAGGTAACAATAAGCAAATTCCAAAAGTTTTTTTTACTTATCTCAAGTGCTGTAGAATTAAATTTCTTTAAGAAATGTCAATTGAAAAAAAGTAAGTGATTTTAAGGGCTGTTTTCCCATGCCAGCGTTCAGTTATGATTTTAATGGTAAATTTGTTGCTGCACAGACATAATTTTATTGGTTCAACTGATTGTTCAAAGTGTTAATTTAATCAGTCATTGAGAGGAATGTATCTGCTGTGCTCAGTCAAGTAAACCTAGTCAGGGTGAAACCCTAAGAGTCAGTCCAACATTAAGTTAAGTCATAAGTAATTATGCAGTCACTGTTAATTCAAGTAAAACTTAAAGGTTAGTAGAACACTTTATGAAGTAAACCTTATATGTCTCAGTCACACACTTATCAGTAGAGCCTAGTCAGTCAAACTCAGTCTCTGAAACAAAGTAAAACTCAGTTAAACAGTGAAATGGGGAATAATTTTGGTTTGTTGTTCCAGTCCATGACTGTGAGGTTGCTTAATCATCTTTTTACACTGTTACCATACAGAGTTGTTATCACCAGATGCATTCTCTTGTCTAACCATCCTGGTGTTTTAATCATATTTGTATTGATAATAGGTTTATCACATTTTGTTCTGATTGTTGATATAAGTGTTATCAAGGTAAGTTGTTTTTAATTTAGTGTTTTTAAGAATGAACTGATAAATTAGTTAAAAGTATGCCATGAATTCTGGAAAGTGTTTTTTGCTCATCAAAATGTTTCTTTGGAGCATGTCCTTACAGACCAGTTTTGTTCTTCTTTACTTGTATTTCTCACAGCATCTGGGGCAGTTTTTGCTGAGTTGATTTGGTCTTTACTTCAAACCACTTGCCCCACACAACTTTGGATTTCAAATGAGGAAGATATCAGTCAGTGGTTACACTTAGGTGCCCGCAAAGGTTCCTAAAATAATGCATGTAGGGGCACCT